ATACCTGTAGTTAGTTACACTTAGATGAATACTAATTCATGAAATTATTTTTTTTCCACCTTTCTTTTTTTGTGTGTGTGGGGGGGTCAACCTTGAACAGTGTGAATAATGTTGCTTAGTTTAGTGAATGTTTATTAGTCGTATATCCATTTGACAAATATATACCAAAAGTTAAATGCTCTAAACTAGTCGCCAAAAATATTTTTTGGTAAACGCATACGGCTAAGAAAGTGGCTAGTGAGATGTATTTTTACTTAACTTTTTATGGGCAATTTATATATATTTTTGTGTTTTGTATTGTGTAACTACCCTAATTTTTACATTGGATAAACATAAGATGGATAATAGATGGTCATGGTATATGATAAATAATGATGAATTATATGCATTAAGTGTTACGAGATAAAGTAATAAATCAGATGATAATAATGAGTAATTAATTAAATAAACGAGTAGGTAATTTGCTGGGATTATAAAATACAACAAAAAAGAAAACGATTATTCAAGTTATTGTGTTATTTATAGATGAACATGGAAATGTGTGAAGTTCTAGTATAATTCTGAATTGATTGATGACTGTGTTGTATGAGTTAAACTGTATTTGTTCATATTTGAAGAATTTAAGGGTTCTTATAGCGAAACGAAATGATTTTTAATTTATATTTGAATGTATTTACTTTTCTCATTAACCATAGCTAATAACACAACTGAGCTTCTCTGTATCTTGATAGTTATTTCATTTCCTTGTGTAGTATAAGTAGAGTGTAACTGAATAAAACGAATGGATTTTTAAACAGTAAGATTAAGGTTTTGATTAAATCACTGTAAGCAATTTTTTACTTTTAATTGAAGGTAAATATGATGTTATTTTTATCAGGTGTCAATTGAGTGGGTTTCTGCTGCCACCTGATAATTTGTTAACAGGGTTTTTACTCAATTTAAATAAAAGTTGAATAAACGTGTTTTTTTCTATTAAACAAATGATGAGATGGAAGTTATTAGTTTCCAAGATTTTTAATTCAATCTAGAAAATCTTGAAATAGGCACAAACATATAGATATAGAATTAAACCAATGAAAATACGGTTATCAGTTTATGGGTTGTGAAAGTTGTTAAGCTTTTGATTGAGATCATGAACCGATTAATGTTAGACCACCATCGAAAACCTGGAATTACTGGACGGCCGTATTGTCCTATTATGGGACTCCTTCACGTTCCCGCTGGTGGCATTCAAACCCAGGGCCTTCGGTCTCGTATGCGAACGCCTAACCTACTGGACCACTGAGCCTGCATCCAATAGTGTTAATGTCTGACCTCAACCAATCCACGAAATCGCGCGACCATCTTCCATTGTACTGAGGTAGATACCTGTCTCTACCCGACACGGATTAGCACAAATAAGTGTCACAAAAATTTCTATAATCCATATTTGAGGCTTATCACTGAAGATCGTTTTAAGTTTTGATAAAATACAAAAAAATATCGAAGATACAAGATTTCATTTGTAGATTCTTCAGTTTGATATTAGTTGAATAAAGATATATTGAAGAAAGTCATTCAAATTCTAAAAGTAGTAGAACCTCTTGGTCACTACTGAAAGTTATATGATGGTTGTTTTATATTGCTTTGTACAAAAGTTTACATTGGGACAAAACATTTAACGTAATACAGCTTTTATTTTTTTTACAAATCAGTCAAGTGCTGTGATAAAAACGTGACTGAAGAGTAAAAGAGTACTATGGTCATAATCTATTATCGTTATATTAATATAACTAAGTGATATTGGATAGTGGATTGTGTATTTCTCTAAATACTGTTTATCTGTTTATCTTCTCACCTTGTGTTTTTCTTTCTTCTTCTTCTTCAAAGGTTTAACAACTGTATTCGTCAAAGTCTCGCTTAATCACTTATTTTGTATTATTTAATCATACACTGCTTAGCATACACTTATTCATATACAGTACTGTCCTTTAATCCAATGTTAAAAGTTTTTTTTGTAAAATGAAAAATCTTTACAAAAAATAGTGATGAGTAATTAAGCCTAAAAAAATAACTAAGTGTATACGAACAGGACTGTTGTGTCGACAACAATAACAAACAATAAAGATTGAAATAAACAGATATGGTCAAATAAATTGAATTATATATACATATATATGGGGAAAAATGATGGTTTGTTTTTTATTTTTGTCATCGCTGATGAATCTTTTGTTACTTTGTTGGTTGATTGTCTATTCTTATTAGTAGTTATTTATTTTCAGATTTCAGTACTGCATCAGCTGATTTCGGTCTATAATTGTGTAATCAACGAGTAATAATGACCTCTTACTTGTATATGAATCATCACAATTAAATATTGGGAATTAGGAAAAAAAGCGCATTTGTTACTGTTCTGAAACATATTTTATTAGTTAAATGTATTCCATTATCTATTAACTTTACCTCGCCTACTACACATGTACGTTTCAAAATGTAATTGGCTATCACAAACCTTACCTCACGAATACAACGGAAAATTATAAATAACATCTTACTGAAGAGGTCAATCGATGTCTGTTTTTTTTAAAAATTTGACAAAGGTATTGTGAAAACTGTTACTTTCTAGAAGGATTTCCTTTGAAAATATTTGACCTCTTTAATTTTTTTTTCAAATTTGGTAAATAAGTGTCTTCTGTTCTTGGTTGATGAATTCTCAATGATTCAGAAAAAAAACGTTCCTTTAAAAAATGAAATTATATAAAGAACCATTTAAGGCTAAGAACAAACAGACGACCGTTTTTATTCTAGTTTTATAATCACCTAAACAAGTCGAACAGCTGGTATACAATAACATGCAACAGTAACTTTAATCCTTGCAATAAATGTGATGCTAATAACATATTTATTTGAACTCCGATTTTTTAAATGTCAGTCATATTACTATGTAGCCTATTTTTGAACTAATATCAATAATGATAACAGTCCATGGGAATTTCATTTGATTAGCTTCTTTACAAATTATGAAATCGAATTTAGCGTTATGAACGCATGTAAAATGTGCAATACATAGTGTATTTATTGTTTTATATATTTTTAAACCTTATGGTAAAATGTAATGACCTGGGTATTTTGAAACCTACTATATAAAACGAGGACCCGATCTAATACATTGGAGATTATATGAGGGAGAAGCAGTAGACATAGAATAAGTTTACAGTCCTGATAAAAAATATATATGCATGGATATTGATTTAAAATGCAATACGGTCAGTGTTAAGCTTTTAAATTACATATAAGGGTCATTTCAAAAGCTATTTAAAGTTATATAAATCATGTTACTTGCCCTTTATTTCAACTTCTCGGCTCATGACACCTGGATTTACTCTGCTTATCTTAGTGACGATAAAATTCTCTCTCATACGTCTACTTGTTTAGAACCATGTAGTAAATTTCTATAGTCAATCATCGTATCAAAATTCTAACAGAAATACGATTTACTTATTGACCTATAATTTAATACACATATGTATCACTGTAAATGAAAATTTATTAACAGTTTGTTATGTGAGTTAATTTGAATGCACAAATTAAACCGGCCTCTTTTGATGATAAGTTTGTCTAGCCATATTCCGCTATGAAATTCAGTTGTTCGAAAAGTTATAAGCAAAGATCATTTAAAATCATGCTACTATATTTCATGATGAATATTTGATGCGAAGAGGTTACCAGAAGGCTTTTGATTAGTGGTTAACAGAATGTAATACGTACTGTTTTATTCTTTGGACTAATGATCACTTAGCGCATTTGATCAATGAGGATGTGTTCAACACTGAAAACCAGATAATCCAATTATGGTTATCGATAAAAGGACTTGATTTATTTTAGAAGACGTTTAGTCACTTTATAGTTGACTCAATAGTAAGGTCACTGCATATGTTCATTAATTAGGAAACCTTTTTATCCATTAGTTTACTCAGGAATATTGATTAGTGCTCATTTTTTTATATTCGCTTGCTCACCTAAAGGAAAACCCTAGTTTGGCTTAAATTTTGTGACTGTTGATTTCTGTGATTAGCTTAAGCCTGTCACAAAGTACAAGTATTGTTTCTACTTACCCATTACAGTTATTACCAAATTACTCAATCCCGCAAATAAAATAACTAAGATGACTTTTTCCCCAACTTAGCGCTGTATTATATACCGCCTACGTGAATAATTACTGTTCATGTCTTCAGATTTAACACCGATAATAACATTTATTTAGATATGTTTTGCTTTTTCGACATCCAGCAATTAATGAGTTAAATTACATGAAAACTAAAAATAGATGTTTGTCAACTGACAGTCGTTAATAATGAAGCCATATACTTTAAAGCATTAGTAGTACCATAGAAAAATATATGATCACTGTTCTTAAAAGTCCCATAGAACTGCTGCATCGAAATGAGTTGAAAGCGAAATTCAGTACTATTCGATCAACCGGAAGAACTGTAGTTTCGAATAAACGAATGTTTTAGGAAAGAATTGCTTATACAATTCCAATATAGATATCATGGTAAATTCTAGAGAACTAGAGGATTCTTTCATGATGTACACATTTTGGATGAACAAAAATGTCATTCCTTGAAACAAATTATCCGGTAATTCAACTGTCATAAATAAAAAAGAAGATTACTGTTCTTTTGATATGCTGGTTGCATTCACCTATTCGTGTTCTAGAAATTATCAACAAATCTTTCGAAACCATCCCTGCGAGGTAAAAAAAATACAATAAATATTCAAGTATATTTATCAGTCTTTGTTTTTTGATAACATACTAAAGTAAACAGGGTATCATGGCAAATTTAAATGCATTTATAATATGTCTATCGTTTAAGAAAAATTACACTGTTATCGGTGTGAGTGTTTAACACATTAAACCTCTTTACAAATTGTTAAGCTTGTACATCTTAAAACCAATGAGAGTTAGATAACAAAGGGGACTGATGAAAACCGTTTATCTATCTCAATTTTAGAGCAACATGGATGGATACATTTTGCATGAGCATAGTCTCATGATAACTAAATACAAATATACAAATAAATTTTTGTTCGGTAGTTTAACTCGATAAAATGGGATTTCACTATGAGATCTAATGAAGAACAGCAACTTTTGTTTGGATTAAAATTAACTTAGGATGGTATTCATGTCTCGTTAATTTGTGGTTATTCGTTTTTCATCTTAAACTATAGCTAAGTCATAATGATGAATTTTAGCCTCTATAAGATAAAATAATATTCAGTTATTGTTTGAACCAATTTTCTGCTAATAGTAATGTAAAAGATTGTTTTCTGTATTGCTAACACTCACTATGTAAGGTAAAAATAAATCTTAAAGTTCTATTAAAGCGCTTGTAATTTCCGGTATTGCTCCAATTTTATTTTAACAATATCGACGAGATGATAATTTATGGACGAACCAATCTGATTAAGGGTAAGAGGTCTCGGAATTTGACTTGAAATTCATTCATCCATTTGTTTAAATAGTGTTTTGACATTTTGGCTGATGTCACTTCGTGATGGGAACCATAAATCTAATTCTCAACCCTAACCATCAATTGTAAAACATAATCGGAGAGACTACAATTTATGGACGACCTTTGAACGAATCTTAAATCACCCTGGGAATCAGAAAACAGTAAATATAGAGTAAATATATATTATACAAAACCGAAGAATTGAGTGGATACACTTCAAAGTTTCTCCCTACTCACCCAAACGACTCATCTAAGCTCGTCATTTTTACTGCACATATATCTCTATAATACTTTTACCACTGAATAGCCGAAGCTTCAGTAAATGTTGTAACCAGTGTTAATAGTGCTTTCATTATCCATTTAGCAACAGTTATCACAATTCGATATAACCTCAATCTATATCGAGCAACAAAAGTTCCTATTCTAGCAGACTTCTTCCCCAAGCATACATTACATCAAAAAACAACATCAACATGTTAGTCTGCACAAGGTCCACAGGTGATTTAAATAACAAATCACAAGTAAAGGAACTTCTTAGTAATTCCACTTGTTCTAGCCGCTCAATTATAATATCTTCTCTAAAATCCGTTCTGAACCGATCGTACGTGAGCATCAGATACTGAAATTGGTGCCGTGACCTTGAAATCCTTCAAACGCTTCTGACTGGCTCGTCCATAAATTATAGTTCCACAATCATAGTCCTTATTCTTCATACTGCTATATAACTCTCATTTAGCCCTAGTAAGCAGGTGGACATTCTCAAAGTCACTAAGGCATCGCTCAAAAACGTCCATAAATTATAGACTTATCACGATATCTTATACAATATTGATTTTCACTGCCTCTTTTTTCATTGAAATTTAGACTATTTATCTCAACATTGTCATGATATACCAGGATTGACAATAAAACGATTATATTTCGAATTAACCGGAGCTGTAATCTATTCTCATCCAAATTATGCTCAACTATATGAAAATATTCATAAAAATATACATCAATCAAAATCAAAATCAAACTTATTTAAACAAAACAATAAAACTAATATTAATAATCATAAAAAATCGATTAAATTATCAAATAAATTTGTAACAGTTGATGAAACTAATTTTCCACAACCGTATACTTCTCATAAACATCGAAAAAACCATCTAAATTCAACAGTAATGACGACAACAACAACAATGACAACAAAGGTGTTAAAACAATCAACCGAAACTGTAACAAATCGTAATCAATTAGAGAACAACCTTGATCATAAGTATCCAGTTAATTTTAGTTGCGAAATTTATGTTCATTCACGTGTTAATTCACGTATTATGATAAGATTTCAATCATTCTATATACCATCACAACAGCATTTATTATGTGATGAAAACTATCTATATTTATTTGATTCAAATACACCACAGTATCGTGCTATGGTTAGTTTGTTTTAGGATAATTCATTATAATTATTAATGATTTATATTTGTGGGTATTTATGTATGTCGTTGATATGCTGTTTGTATAGTTTAATTTCAGCAGGTTATAAGATTTGAATATTCATACAGAAATATCATTATTTATTGGGATCTAGTTGAATGAAAATGAAATTCAATGGATAAAACGTGTCCGAAATTAACATCCATTTTCCAATACATTCAAAACATATGAAATTTCAATTAACACATCAAAATTATGTAATAAAATTCATTTTACATTTAAATGCTGACGATTATTTTTTTCTAAAAAGCGCTTAATTTTTTGTTTTGTTTCAGGAAGTAACCTTTCCATTATTGAATCATTCGTGATGCATGATGGAAATATAGTTATAATAATTTTACACTTATCCTTTTTAACTTTATAAAGCCGATTAATAAATGATGAGCATAGAGATTATTAACTAGTTTTATGGTTACTGATTAAGCGTTTGTTTCATATATTACACGGAACTAATTTTACAAGCTCGGCATAGTTTTATACACAACATTAAAATATATATTGAAAAAAGCGCTTTGATGAGATTATATATTTATATAATTTTCCTATTGAGAACTCAGTAATTCCCTGAATCCTAGTGTTGACTATTGTGGTAAAATTTGAACTGAGTGTGATCACTTTGAAATAAACTAGGGAGATTATCATTGAAAACCTTAGTGTTCGATTAGCTTTATATATTAGCTATTAGATGAATAGTTCTTAAGAATAAATCAAGGTTCTAATGCATAATAAATGTGTTTTTTTTTGCTTTTTAATCCTTGAAGTCGTTAAAATAAGATTTGCTAAGTACTCGTGTAGCACTATTTACATACATCAGAAAAAAGGAGTATTTTTTTAGTGGCATAAATATCATTAAAAACCACGAAGGTTATCAGAATGTCACGCATAGAACGTTGATACAAGTCTCTCTAACAAACTGTAGATATTAATGTTCGTGCAACTAATGTATTAAATCACTATATAATCAATTCAGTGGACCATGGGTATTAAATTTTTTGACGTACAAATAGTTTCAGTTTTATAGTGAGTGTTTAACGTTACCCCTTTATAACGTTTGAAAATAACAAACTCTACTTCACCTTCTATATTATAGGAGATATTGTAGGATGAGACAGTCAGTAATGTTTACCCCTGATAAGCTCTAAAGGTAACTTTGTGCATTCAGATTATTTATATGATAAGGAAGAATCAATCAACTGATGACTTGTACAATACCTAAAGTTTAAATCCATAAATATAGGAAACATTACTAATTTTCTGTTATAGATTTCACGAAATGTAATGGTATTTTAGTTACTAATCGCAGATAATGGCATGAAGAGAAATAATGGGTACTATTTTATCAACCAGATTGCTAAAAAAACGTATTTTCACGTAAATCATTTATCAATTTTAGCTGGCATATAATTTAAAATAAAACAGGGTTAAAATTATTATAGACCATTTTCGTTACGAATTTATTTCAACCAGACAATCAAACCTTGCTTCACTTAATTTGGTTTGAGCAACCGGATAGTAGTATAACTAATCCTCACAACTAAAGTAAGGATTATACCTAAATATATGGCTAATGAATTGATTATATAAAATTACATATCGTTTCTCTTCTTAAGAATAAAACTTTATTTTAATTTCTGATAATTATTGAGAATTTAAAAAATACAGAGATCATGATCTATGAAGCACTTTTTATATCGGTTTGATTGAGTGATGAAAAGATTTCGAGGAAAATAATTAAGTGTATCCCTGTTTTAATATCTATCTTTATAAATAAAACAATCATTTGGAAAATTTGAAAAAAATGAACTAATTTTCCCAAATATTTGTTACCCCCTGCTTTTTTTCTTTCCAATTTGGGAATACTTTTACTTTTTTGGTTGAAATTTAATGATTTTAATGATTTTTTATTTTAGGCAGAAGCCGGTGGTGAAAGAGGTCTTTGTCAGCATCATTTTCCTACGCAACCAATTTTCACAACAAAATCATTTGTTACAATTGTATTCAGGTGAGTATTATGATTTTACAAATTAAATTTGTCGATCGTCATTATAATAACTATATAAATACTTAATTCACTAATTTACTGTCATAAATACAATTCTTCAAACGAAGTTTTGACAGCTTGTTTTGTGAAGCCTAATGGTGCATGGCTTATTACTGATACATTTTATTGAGATACAGACATCAGGGAGATAAATCACTTTATTTTAGTGAATGGAATTTACAAATAAGAATAAGTTAGATTAATAATCTAGTCTTGTCAGTTGATAGATTTGTGCTTATTAGTTAACTGAAAATAGTGCCTAGTAATATTTTATTAAAGTATATAAAACCAAATTTCAACGCTTAAAAAACGTTTGGTCATATTATTGAGTGACAAATTTGAGTCAGGTTCACAAGTATACAATTTGAGAATACACCAGGAAAAGAATTATAAGATTTGACAACAGTAATTTATAACCAATATTAAAGAATATGGCAAAAAAGCATTCTAATATGTTCACTGAAACATTCGACCGCTCCTATGAATCAAACATTAGCTCACTTCATTTATACCAAATTAAGTCAAAAGATGAATTATAAAAACTGGGAACTTTAAAGATATATGTAGCTATAGATTTACATCAATATTAATTTCGTAGAAGATAAAACAGAAAGTGGCATATAAATTTTAATAATTAAGTTAAATTTTCAAAAATCTGGTTTAAATTTATGATCTATGGACTAGATTAAAAAGTGAGTAACAACAAAAACATCGGAATCAAAAAACTGGATTGTGGTCTGCCTGCATTTTTAAATAATTACATTCAACGATGTTGGGTTGTTAAATTCTTTATCAGTACTTGGATATTATTTCGAAGTAACCCACAGCAACTTTATCTAACGCTAAGTGAAGGCGAAAGTGTTAACTTTTACAGAATACATATATTATTTACAGAATTCTATTTTTCCATAAGCTGATATCTGTAGGCAACTAGAGATTTTCTGAGACCTTATAGATTTTGAATTTTCCTGAATAATTTGACATCACATTTGCTGAAGAAAGTAATTGTTGACTAATTGAAATAGCCGTTTGTTTTCAGTGTACTGAAACCAAATTTTTCACACCGATTGATACTAGTCATAATAGTTATGCTGTAGCTGTGATATACTTATGTAAACTCACCTCTCAGTGCACTACAGAAGATTACCATACTTTTCAGTTAATTAATATCTTTAAATTAATAAATCCTCGTCATTTAACTTCCCGAAGATCGTTTTTATAAGACATGACTGCGTCTACGTTTAAAATGAGATTATTGGTCATCATAATTCAACCATAGAGTCATAAATATTTGTACGTTTAAAGATTTTTAATATCATTGGAAGTAAATCGTATTTTTATTTCAAAATCGTCATATAAAATATTAGTTTCTGCCTAATGAATAGCAGTGAGAACAAAGACAAATGTTTCATCTTACTTGAGACTCATCAGCTGATAAGCATCATCGAAAAGTGTTATAAAAGCATAACTGCAAGCAATATCGAGACACCAGTTTAAAAAACTCATATGCCAACAGTATCTAATGAGATTTACTTCTGAACGTCCCCAACCGTATTGTACACACCCCTAAAAATAATAAAATATGTTGTTGGTAATGATTACTACTATAATTTAAGTTGGTTGGATAACCATTGAGAAGCAGCAGTAATGAATAGCTATCGCACGACATCCCAAGTATATTGCAAGTATAGGGAGAGGTACTGTTATTCACATCACTGAGTAACTCTATCTAGGTAATCACCAAAATGAACAGAATCCCATATATCTGTTCAATCAAAAGCTGTAACCAGTGAAATTCAACGATGTTGAAATAAGACAGGTATCACTAGTGAAAATGGATCATAATTCAGTAATGTTTCAAAATGACGTGTTTAAAATGTGAACCATTAGATTGAGATTCAGCGGTCTGAAAGCCTATACAGTTAAAGAACCAGATATGAAGTTTCAAAGTCCCTTCCTAGGAAGAGTTATAGATGCTCGTCACTGAATTTACAGGATAACAGGATAAAGCATATTTCCACTACCTAAGGATCTTAGCGATTTTTCTGTCCGTTAGATAAACTAAAAAAGATTTTCACTTGCATTCTATGAAAGCGTACCACCATTTTTGTAATAAAATAAATCAGTCATTTTTAAATATTGTTTCAACCAATAGACAGCTATGCATTATTCTTTACATCTCGAGAGAAAAAAAAACAAAGAAACGTTAACACCAATACTGTCAGTCATTTTTAATAAGTTTTCATTGAGACAGGAAAACAATATATGAAAAAATAAATTTGCTTGTAGTCAACATGTTAAAATGATAGAACTATGTGAAATCAGCAGTGATTCATAATGAATTAATGACTAGGGTTAGAAAAAGTCTGTTAGCCATATAATATTGAAATTATTTTTATCAAGCTTTTACATGAAAACCATTTATTTGTTATATTCTATAGAATAAAGATTATGAAGTATGGGACAAAGCAGAATAGTTGGACGTAATTAGGCGTGAAGTATGAAATTAACTTTGTGTGTATCTGAATGTATTCACAGCAATGTTGATTCATTTATTTATTGTAACTGGTTATCAAATAATTATATCTTATCAGTAAACACTGAAACATAATCATAGTTATTAACTGGTTATTATCGAGTAAGGAATTATTCAACAGGATACTGTTCAAAAGGGTTTGTTGATTTTATAGATTGACTAAAGAACTTTAAAAAGTAATAAGCCATTAAAATCTTTGAATTAGAGATCACTCATTCAAATCCTTATCACACCTTGCTTCGCTTTTAAGTTCTGCCCTATAATATAACTGAAGCCTTATAAATAATTTCATATTTGTCAGAAGAGGATTTGTGGAGATTTTAGTAATTTCAATAGTTGAAATCGAGTCAGTTGAAGATAGACCACCATGAAAAACCTGGGAGCACTGGACGGCCGTTTCGTTCTATTGTGGGACTCTTCAACAGTGCGCATCCACGATCCTGCCCCCCTCGAGATTCGAACCCAGGACCTATCAGTCTCCACAAAACCCCTTTCTAATAATAATATTCTCACTAGTGACTGACTTCAAGAGGCATTCCCTGGAGTTCTAGTGAGAAGCCGTGACCAGTGGAGTTCAACCACGTCTGTTGTGAAATATCAGCTCACTGATGACAATGGTGTACGGTGGCGCAATTTGGTGGATTGGTTGAAGTTGGACATTAACACCGAGGGATGCCAGCTCAGTGGTCTAATGGTTAGGCGCTCGCGAGCGAGACTGATAGGTTCTGGGTCCGAATCTCGAAGGTGCAGGATCATGGATATGTGCTGCTGAGGAGTCCCATACTAGGACGAAACGGCCGTCCAGTGCTTCCAGGTTTTCCATGGTGGTCTATCTTCAACTGACTCATGATTTCAACTATTGAAATTCATGTTTAGTCGGAAAAAATGTTAATTTGTTTAGTCTATGTATTTTTCCGTGAAGTGATCAGCTATTTCATAAAATGCCTTTCATGCTCTTAACATTATCTACTGAATTTAATCAAAATTTTATTACGACAAATATCTGTACTTATTCTAATAACTAAATCGACTGTTTACTCTTTCTCTTTTTTCTTGTTTAGCTACAAAGTCACCTTCTTTTAAAAAAGGAAATGTTTCTCATACTAATGAACAGTGGTTTAATTGACTTTTTATTGATGTAAATACTTTTTTTGAGGATTATTGAAAGCAATTTATGTTTAGTTTGCAAAGGTGCTATTATGTATGTAATCTGACAATGGATTATCAATTTGGTTGATAATGAATGTCTATTTATCTCTATCCTTTTATACTAACAGTTGAATCTAGAAATGAAATGTTTTTTGTTTCGATTATTTTATGTACTAGAGTTGTTTCTGAGTAACTCAATGGGAATTTTTAAGCTAGGTAGATAATAATCTCTAAGCTTTTATTGATTATGGGGCGGCCTGCTTGAGCATCTGGGCTACCTGTTCCTGCCATCTAGATATTTCAACAAGTTATCTATTTTTGTTTGTTTTAATATATCAATATGTTTATTAATCGCATGATGTATTCTGCTGCGTTTCTGAAAAGTGTACAACCTTTCGTTGTCAAAGTTACAAAAAACTCAATAAGAGACAATGTGGTTGCTGGCAATATACAACGAAAAGAATATACATTATTCAGATGTTCATTTACTGAAGTGCTAACATCTAACTGGCGATTACTCAGTATTTATCTTCAGGATCGACCAAGAAGAAAGAAACGGAAACTTGTTGAAATACTTTGTGCTGAGAATTCTATATTGTACCAAAAATATAATATTGAATAAAGCTGATAATAATAATAATAATAATGTTATACCGTTGATTATAATTGCAAATAAATGGATTGCATTTATTAACAAGTTTTAATGAGAATATAACTCACATCTAGAAGTTTTCTAATGGTCTACATAGGAAAGTATAAATAAATTGCACTGACTTTAACTTTTTTATTAAAAACTTCAATATAGCTTAGTTAAAATAGGTTTTTTATCAATACTTCCATATTTGGTTCAACTTGTCAATTAAAGTATGTTCAATAGTTCCTCATTACTATTCGTACTACCAAGCAAAATGAATAATTAGAGACAACTTCAAAGTAGTCTGTCATCAGAAAGTGGTGATCAGTACAAACAATACTGATAAATAGTAACTTGACGACTGAAATGAAAAACAATAAGACACTTTTTTTGCAACCACAAATAAGTCTAGTAGGGTTTTACTTTACTTATTGTACAAATAGTCTTTAAATTGGCTTAATGTACATCAAGTTTGTGAACTATACATGAATTAGTGATTGAAGTATCTAAGTAGATATGGGGGGAAAAATAAGAGAAAATCAGAGAAATTTTTCTTCAAATCTGTTTTGTTTGACATTTACTAAGGTTTTTTAAAATATCAAATGATATTACTATGTGTTCTTCCCTACACTGATTGTTTACTTCAGTTAAAAAGTCATATCAATTTATATTAGATGACATATAACATTGATGACAATTGCTGATAGACCATGAAAAAGTTTGATAATCATTATCTTATAATTTAAAAAAAGTAGTTTGAAAAAGAAAATCACCACTGTGACTTGGGTTTATATCTTTTTGTGAGTAAACAGATATGTCAGGTTAGTATATAACGTTAAATAAATGAGAACACGTGAAAATAAGAATGATATTCATATATTTTGTTTTATATAATCAAGATTTCTTGTCTGAATCCTGTTTATAAATGACATTTGACACTAATTTATATTTAAAGCAATTTTATTGGTTGAAAATGAAATGATTCGGAAGTTTCATAGAGAATACCGATTTAGATTTGTTTTTCAGAGGAATAATCAAAATCGAAATTATCAGAGATCTAAAATAAGTCCGTACTTGATGCTTCTTTAATCATCTCCAAATGTTCTTTCATCCATAGCAAGGATGTTAGTTATTTTGATTAATATATTTTATTCGATTAGTTGGACCAGATATCTGCGTGAAACGTTGGAATTATATTTCAGTCGCTAAAATTATTTCTAATTTAATTTTACATTTAATGGTTTCTATATAATAACCTCTGATTTCCTATCCAGTTTTGTCTGATTTCCGGCGAGTGTTTATTTAAACGAATATAATATGTTGAACAATTCAGAATAACATGATTGAACTAATGTTTGTCAGATAGTTGCTGGAGATTCATCCAATGTGAGGACTGGGTCCCACATGGATATCCGAGGATCAAGGGAACAGTAATGACTGATGATGCTTAATTGTCATACGGCTAAGATAGACACTGTTGATGCTATCTTGTGACGATTGTTATATATTGTGAGTTTTCTGAAGTTGGAAATACAAGGAATTGAAACTAGATTCAGTACTGTAAATAAGTCATGCTCATAAAGAGAGCCAAACTTTCACAATCTGATTTTACGTACAGTCATCTGTATGTCCTGTTGTGAGGTCTCAAATCAGAACGATTTACCAGTTCAATACTTCATGGTTTTCACTGGTTCACTAGCTATTGCCATTTACTGAAGAAAATTCACCTTATAGCACAATCAACGTGAAAGATTTGATCCAAGAAATGAATTGTAGAAATAAATATATACTATGGCTTTTTTATAGTTTTCTTATAGTAATACGTAAGAAAACTCTATCACTAGTATTTTTTTCGGCGGTGAATACCTCACCATTTCTTGAATTCTGTTTCGTTCAGTCAAGAACGTTTGTTCCATTTAAATAGCTTTCAGTAAAATGTTTATTTTAAACTTCTCTAGTTAATCAATTGTAGTAAGACAGACTGTTGAAAAATCATTTCAATTTATAATACATGATACAGAAGAATTGAAATTTATAAATTCTGAAATGTGGTGATAAATCCGGTTATTGTGTAAATCTACTTTCATACTGTAAACTAGTGAACGATGTTAAAATAATTTATTCCTGTGTAACTGTGTTAATGGAACATAAATATGAGGACATAGTTTATCCACTCAAAACTAGAATGAATTTCTTAAAGCTTTTTTGTACTATAATATATATGCTATGTATAAGATAATATGTTGTTCAAATAATGAAAAATCGTTATAATAGTTTTCTGAATGAGAACACCAGTGGGGGACAATCGAGTGTATTTGAACACAACATTACAGTACATCTTAGTAAAATCTGAGAACCATACAGTAAATACTTAATTTGCAAAATATAAGTCAGTCGTCTCAGACTTCATTGTTCCTACATTTTTATACCAATTGCTTTCTGTTCCCGTTCTTTCCTTCCCGACCTACTGCTGCCAGACATTCTAATTCTGACTATCGTTATGTACTACTCATGTCGATATAAGTAGCACACACCACAATAGTTCTTTAATCAGTCAGAACAGAAATCAATTACTCGAACTATCATTAGGTATAATTAATTGTTTTATGTCACACTGAATCCGGAATAGTTATATAAAGATTAGTAAACAGAGTTTGTAATTAAGTCTGTGCCCTCTTATGTCCGTTAGATATGATCATTGATCATATACAAACTTGGAAAATTTTAATTATCCGATCTCAAATATCTTCCAAGTTGTAGACAACGACTAGTGTATTTAAAAAAACTAAAAATTTTGATTTAATATCGTTGAGAATAAAGCGTGGTAACTTTTGGGATCCATTTATGGATAAATACTATGCGTATATTTTTATCGTATAATTGTTAAATACCTAAACTATTCATATACCTGTTCCTTTTATCGTTAGCTTTATTTTGACCTGCGAACCATTATTACGCGATTTACTATTCTTGAGTTATGCCCAGTCAATCAACCATTATCTTTCACATTCACGGACACTTTCCCCTAAATCTTGTACAACTGTTGTTTCTTATTTTATGGTACGATGTGATCTGTTTGGTTGGTATATAAACTCAGTACGTTTGAATTAAATGGTTCATTTCTCAGAGGCTGAGATTGGTGTTCTGGACTTAACAGACAGGACTAGGTGGGAAGCAGGACCAGTGAGGACTCTAGGGTGCTCGTACTTGTTTTATGCGTCATTGGTTTGGTCGATAATTCACTATTCCCTAATTAACAGTATCATCACGTTATGCATTAACAGGACAAAGGGCACAAGTTATAACAGTTAAATTGCAAATGAAGTAGCACAATTAAACTACGACAGTTCACTGAAAAGTATATTTTGTATGTTTTGTTGTGTAACTAATTATTACAACTTTTAAATAAAAATTTTAGATCCAGTCCCTTGATATAATGGCTTGACTTTTATGATAAAATAATAATGTCGAATTTAAATACTTTGAACATATTCAAAATAAAGTTCGTCACAGTAAGAGTTCTTTCTCGAACTATAAAATGTAAACTAAGGTTTATTTCCCTTTTAATGCGTTTTAATAATATTAACTTAATCTATGATTTTATGCCACTGTTATAAGAGATGGGAACAATGCTAGTAACTGGAATTCACCAGTGCAATGATGGCGAAAACTTTCACCTTAGTGGAATGATTTTTGAAGTGAACGGTTTTGTGTAATGAACAGTTTATTCACGAACCTTTCTTTTCACTTCACGATAGCTATTGGGTGGTGATCATTATTTCTACCCACTGACCAGTTTATTAACTGTAATACTTCAAACAATTATATCGTCTTCTTGTCTGACAAATATTGAACATTATTTCAGAATAGTATGCCGCGTCTCAATATTTCACCAATTTCCAAACTATCTAACAAAGGGAGTATTATGACACTTACTCTACATTTCTCAAGCCTAATAATTCTGACCAATAGAATTTAACGTGTGTATTTTAGGAAAGTATGTTCAGCCCCTTTATTTACCTTTATAATTTTATTGTATTTATTATAACTTATCTCCTTATAGCTAGTTTTTTGCATTTCAGTTTGATTGACAGGACTCAACCAGCACTAAATGTTAGACAAACGTGATATTTGTTGTTGCTCAGTGACTAATCAATCTATATATTGTTATTGCGACTGACATCTATTATGTATGAATCAATAGACCTAAGAATATATTTATACAACATTGTACTGATAAAAATATTGAAATATGTCAGTTAAACAAATAGTCAAACGAATATGGAGTAGATTATTTTAGTGTACAATCAGAAATGATGAATTTTTAATCCATACCAATGAGTAAGCAAGGAACAATAGAATGTTTCCGACAGTGAAGTTACCAGCTTCTTCAAAGAAAAATAGACTGAAAAATGATTGATGAACTTCAATAAACCAAAACGAACTAATGGATAATGATTGATACATCATCCAGATGGTGATTAAAATCGTTAGTTTATGAAACTGCATTTAGCTAGTATTGTTCTAATTAGAAGTAAGACAATATCGAAATTTCGAAGAGTAATTAGACAACAGTTTTATGTCATTCGGAAGCACTTAAAAAACTCTAGATCTTGAAACTTTAGTAAACAACGCTTTTTATACTCAACATTACATAACATTGAGAATCGATGACGTTAAGATGACTGCAATAAAGAAAATGTTACTGCATTCTGCTTCATAATTATTCAAGTTTCAAATGACATAAACCCGCTATTAGATTATTATTTACCTAGATTAATATTTCGTATTCGTTATTTGTAGACTGACGTGGATTATTATTTGAAGATTTGCATAATTTGTGTGCTGTTTTCGTTACAGATAGTAAACAGCTGAAGAATTAACCGAAACCATAAGTTCTTAAAGAGCTTGTTTTGTCTATTTACAAGAGTTTGTATTTATGATTTTTACTTTATCAGTTTCCCCCAAATGGCTTTATTCACATTGAATAAGTTAATAACTACCTGGATTCGGTAGCTTAGTAGAAAACACATTAGTGTTTGGAACAAAATGTACTTGCTTGGAATCTCAATGGGAACATCAATACTAGGATATATCAACATCCAGTTGACGAGTACTAAATAATGCAAAATCCAGAGCCTTGATTTAATCGCTGACCAGAGTCAAATTTTACTGTAACCTATTTTATTCTGATTGAAGTTTCATATCATGAGCTAACTTCGGTACCAGTTTGAAACGGACTGGTATTCAGGATCAAGGATCATGAACATAAATGAGCTGAAGACCATTGGTTGTCATATAAAATGAAAAGTGGAAATTGCTGAGATCTATACTGTTAAAACAATATGATCATTTTATTGTATTTTATCTTTATAATGGTTCTCAAGCTACGTGTAAAGATTCATAAAATCATTTTCATAAATCATGAGACCTTTTTTGTCTAGTGAATATTATGGTTATTCTTTTTTTTAATTTTTGCAGATCAACAACATTCTCATCATCTTCGTCAATGGATATGGAACCTGGCTTCAAATTAATACTTACAGCAATAACTGATGGTAATTTATTAAATTCATGAGATGAGTGTTGGCTTATATTCTGGTTGGCTACATGGGTATAACTGAATAGCTATGGATTTAACATAATTAATTTTTACGTTTTTTCCACATATATCCTCATTAGATGTATACCTGTGAAAATAGTAAATAAAATAGTAGACGATCCATCGAGATGTAGGGAAATTGGACTTAGTGAAGTAGCTTGTAAAGGTTTTGGTAAGTGAACATAAAATGACGAAATTTAATAATAATAACGCACCAAACTGGAACAATCCAATATTTTCTTTGTCTGTCAAAAGTCATTGGTTTGAATGAAACAGGTCAACTGTTTTACATGATATTTCATTCATAGTTGTTGATGTTGATAAGTAATAGGAATCTTCTACCTAAAAGAGGATACATACTCAAACACTTATCATAGAAGCTAAATTAAATCGAATGTTGCCACCAAATCACAGAACATACAAATAAAAAACAGTGTGAACATCAATAATAAACTATTGAGGTCTGTTATATTTGTTATCTGTATTCCGATCATAGAATAAAAATTATACGGATGTATTCATTCTACAATTACTGGTAAATGTATCATGTTATTAAGTGGCCATAACTGTGAAATCCACCGAGATTCAATTCATTCCTGGTAACTGACCAGTATACTTCTGTTACTTCTGCTAATAGATAGATTTAAGATATCACATTTGCATTTAATTATGTCCATTCAGCACTTGACATTATCACCTAATAATCACATCTCAAGAGAGAGAATTATAATCTCAGGTGGTAAATTGTAGTTTTTGGAAATACTTTATGTTGATAGTCATGATATTTGCATGACATACAATATCCTTTGAGAATTGTTGTTATTGTTATACGTGTTTATACAGTCACAAAATTGTGTTATATTATCTACAGTAATGCAAATTATTTCTCTAGTTTTCCTAATCAAAACCCTCTATTTAAAGTAAAGTATACTATGATAATATCAAAAATATAATATGAATTTCTAGCATAGAAGATAATTTCCCTTGAATTCGTTTATTTGATTAACTGTGAAAATTCTAGTTAAATAACATATTTTTATGGTTTTAAAACAAAGTGAATTATGCTTTCAAACTTTATTGAAGTAAATATCCGTTTCATTTTTAAATGATAATTTAGTAATATAATGTAATATAATAAAAGTAACTATAGGGTAAATTCTGCTGTGAATATTGGTAATACTTGGATTGAATGAGCACGTGATTTCGGTAATGTTAATTTCTCGAAACCGAATAATTTATTCATGAAATTGTTTATTGTTCCAAATTCACTTAATATTGTTTACTTGTATCTTCTCATTGTTGTTTAGGACTGCGATTGATCAGTCTCTTGTTGACATACGTGCATCCCGTGTGGATTGCTTCAGTATTGCCTTAAGTCACAAGCTTTAAAAGCAAAGATGAATAGTGGTTAGCAGTGGAATCTAGGATGCGCTTTTCGTCCTACTTGAAACTCGTCTGCTGGATGTACCTGCATCTCAGAGTGGACATCAACAACATCCATCTTTGCTTGTAAAGCTTGTTTATTGTTCTGTTAGGAAACAATTTTAACAAAAATGTCATATATAAATGAGATTTTAGAGTTTCTTTACAAATAACTAACGGATTTTCCTGTCAGTATAGAACGTTAATGGCTGTAAAAGTAAATTTTTCACTAGCAGATTTTCTAGCTTAGATAAGCAAAGCAACACTGACAAATTTCTTAAAAAAAACAAATTTCTCTCACCATTTTGACACCTTAATCAAGTTGTTTGGTAACACATCGTCACATTGGACAAGTGATCACTTTATTTTCTCCTCTTTGCACAGCCGATATTTTAGTTTGTTCTTATAAAATTTAGTTTAGTATCGCTATTGTATTCGACCTCCAAGATCCAAGTCTGAACACCGACACTTAACTAAGAATAATTAAAGTTATGAGTTTTTATCTTACCTTTAATACACGTACTTTGGATATATCTGTTTCTATCCGACACGGATTCGCTCCACTGTTCACGGCTTTTCCCTAGAATTTCGAGAATTTCCTCACGAAGCTAATCACTAGTGATCACATGGTAATTAGCATTATGTGGTTTTGAAATATTTTTCGCATAAAACTTTAAACAACTTTAACATTATAAGATTGTATTTTCATTTTTATTAAACTTATGTAACTTCCACATCTCATTATTTAATATATATATATATATATATATATATAACCACAGTCAGTATGTAGGTTCATATGAACCGCTGATTTAAAAAAGTGAATGATTCTTTTAAAATATGTCTGTTAGTGATAGTTGAATTGATTTTTGAAAACTTTACCATCAGTCAGATTGAATTTCTATATTCAAAACATTTTTTTCGCGAAATACATCAAACTGTTTTGCGTGCATTAAACGTATTTCCTTTAATTTTTGTTGTTGTTGGTAGAATTAACAATTATGAAAATTATTCCATTAATTAGACTTATGCATTTTAATTGTTGTTATTTAAATTTACGGTAGAAACAAAGTTATTTAGATGAAGCTGATAGTTCATTTGATGATAATTATGTTTGTTGTTCACTTTATATACTTCTTTTTCATTGTACACTTAGCTATACATAAATAATTTAATTTAATCATTAATCACTAACTACGAATTATAGATTGAGAATTGAATGGAATTATTAAAAATTTCATTTTATAATAATAAACAATTTTTAGTTTTGTTGCATAGTTATTACTGTTTTTCAGTGGGTTATTTTACAATTCAATTCAACATTCTTATTCACAATCAATTGGTTATAATGTTGGTCATTTACTTATGCCAATAAAATGGTTGATATCACTATAGGGCTGTGGAGATTATCAAGTTTTTGATTGAGATCATGAAATGACTGATTTTAGACCACCACTGAAAACCTGAAAGCGTTGTACGGTCGTTTCACCCTATTGTGAGACTCCCCAGCAGTGTGCATCCACGATCTCGCCCACAGGATTCGAACCCACGGTCTTAGGTCTCGCATGTGAACGCTTAACCTCAGTTCATGATCCTAATCAAAAAATTTAATAATTTCCACAACCCCATACTGATAATTATCGTGTGCTCACTGTTGACTGGCTTCGTGAGGCGATTCTCGGAATTCTAGGGAAAAGCCGTGGCCAGTGGAGCGAATCTGTGTCGGGTAGAAACAGGTATCTACCTCAGTACAATGGAAGGTGGTCCTGCAATTCTGCGGATCGGTTGAGATAAGATATTAACACCACTGGATGCCAGCTCAATAGTCTAGAGGTTCATAGGCTCAAATCCCTGCTGAGGAGTACCACAATAGGACAAAACGACCGTACAATGCTTTCAGGTTTTCAATAGTGGTCTAAAATCAATCAGTTCATGATCTCAATCAAAAACTTGATAATCTCCATAGCCCTATAATGATATCAACCATTTTATTGGCATAAGTAAATGACCAACATTATAACTTCATTTAACAGCATCCACGTTTGACTTCTTATATAAATCTAACTAGTGTAAACTTCAGTGAATAAGTGCAATACATCAAAATGACTCTGTAAAACAGTTTCAACAGTTGACTTTTTTAGATGCTTAAACTGTAATAAGTGATTTTTTCATGTGAAGTTTAATTGAAAGTGAGATTTTAATGGATCATTTTCTTGAAATAAACGTATGATCATTGTTTTTGAAAACCGTTTATTTGATTGTGTACTATTACATTCATTTTTCTGTTATGTTAGGTTTTAGCTTTTTTATGAGAAATATTTTTTTATTTAAGTTTAGCCCACGTCGAACAAATAACAGTCAGGACCATTAAAAATAATAGATAGTCGTATCTAGTGACTATACTTCTGATGAATGCCATCTGATAAAAGTATTGCTTTTTAACAGGATTCTAACAGAACAAGAAGAATTACTTCTTCTTTTCTGGCAAACAAAGTGGTTTTACGAATAATATAAATATATACAAAACATTAGTCAGTTATTGGCTCACTTACTGACTAATCAGCTATGTAAGTCACTGTTGCACATGTTTTGTTCAGTAAGAATCATGATATATAAATAATTACCTTATGGCTTATAGGTCAGACAAATGAACTCTAGTTCAATTGTCTCAAAACATAGTGTTCTCCTGTAGAATATGGGATATCCTGGATTCGTTCCGCGCATTTAACATAATTGGTTAGTGATGAATACTTTGTTTGGCAACCTGTGATATTGAAATAGGTTAGAAACGTTTGTGCACCATATCCCTGTACTGCTACAGTAAAAACTTAAGGAAAACGAAAACATAACTTCTGTATGATATAACATTATTTTATATTGTGGGATCATCTTCCAGGGCTAAATTAATTTTGATTACCGTAGTTCTTTTGAACTTCATAATTCTGTTCCCGTTTATGATATACGCACATTTAGAACGCCACGTAATCTGACTAGAGATAAGTTGTTCTCATTAGAGAAAAATGACCTCTTGATATCTAGTTCAATACTTAATGATTAATCATTAATTAAATTAAATATAATTTATGGGTACATTGATAATGTCATACACAATCCACTGCTATATTATATTAGTACTTTCTGGGAGAAAAAGATTTTCTTCAAAGGTTTCAACGTTTTTGTTTTTGTCTCAGAATTATATTAAAGTTGTTTTTATCAAATGATCGATTTCACTTTAGCAGTTCCAAAACAATCACAAATTTTCGATCTACAAATCTAAACACAAATTAATCAATATTTGCTACCTATTATCCCGCTGACTTTACCTTGTTGTTGATCTATCAAGTTGAGATATGAATACTAAGGTAACTAATTCGATGTCACTGTGAAACGTTTTAGACGTTAAGTGGTAGGAGGATTCTGTAACTGTATTTCATTACTAAACTTAATCATCGCCCGTGGTGATTTAAAACTCTAACTGTTTGGTAAGAACATATACCACTAAATAGTCCCAAATATCTTTAAAAGTAAGGTTATAACCGAATTGTTTGTCAATAAATGAGTTATTTTAAAATAGTTGAAGTAATCAATTTACAATAAAAGCCATTTCATTCGAAACTATGTATGGCAATATATTGCTAATCGTAACATGTATTAAAGGTTTTAAACTAACATTAATGTGAGTAACACACTTTTGGCGCTCATAATAATCAACTTATCAGTCCTAGGTTTCAATGACCAATAAGTTCTTTTGTTAAATTTTGTCTAGTGTGTTGTGAGTTTAGGTTCGGCTTTTTATCACGTGATTTATCCACCAATCAAAATACGACCTATACAATCTTAACACTGTGCCAAACCAATGACGTTCGACCAGTATGGGCAGCCTAGCGTCCTTATAAGTCCTATGTCCGCCTAGCCTGTCCACTTGAGTCCAGAACACTAATACCAGCTTCCACTATCCGAATCGAATCGTTTATTTCAGACATACTGGGTTTATATATCAATCAATCAGACCGCAACGCACCATAAAATAGGAAATAACATTCATATACAATAAAGCCAAAAAGTGGCTGTAAACGTGGGAGGCAGTAATCAGTAAACTGAACATAACATAAGGACAGTAAATCGTACAATAATAAATTATATGTCAAAAAAAGCTTATAATAAGAGGAATATAAATATACATAATCTAATTATTGAATAAATATACCATAAGAATGTATAGATAATATTAGTCAAATAATATGTCTCAGAAGTTACTCGTGATTTAATCTTCGCTCGGATATGACATAGTGGGTGTTGAACAATAATACCAATATCTTTGCTGCTACTTAACGAACTACTATAAAGCAGTCGTTTCTTAGAAAACTACGTAAGCATAATGAGCAATATTAATCATTTTCATACTTTTATCAAATGTATTCGTATGTCATCAAAACATCTGTTTATAAACAAATATTTAAATTTGCGCAGATTTTTATTGAAGTTTAGCTCAATCACTTCATTTGTATAATTTGGTTCTGAATCCTTTGTAAAACTTATTGGTCTCTTCCATTGTGTTTTCTGGACAAATGAAGAGTTTGTAATATCAAAATATTCGTTTTGTTCAGCAAATAGTGCCTTAATACAAACAGAATAATTGAAATTAAAAGATATATGAATGTTGCTGAATAGAATGTAATTGAGAAGCTGTTGAGCTTAACTAAATAAAATAGAATCGAAAGATGGTTTGTAAGAATTTGCTGTTTCATAATACATTTTCCAAGAAAGTTTAAATAGGAATACTATAACAATATTGGCAAAATTATATTTACGAATGCAAGATACGAAACTTCAGATAAATTACAACAACAGTAAACAGATTGAGAGTAAAAGAAAGAATTCACATTGAAAATGAATGACATAATGAGTGAACTTCCAAATAACATTGTTGATGTGTGGGCGAGAATGATATGGATTGGTTGTCTGCTTAGTCAGACATGTAGATTGTCTAACAGGTGTCAGATGAGTTATATATTCCCCTATCCTTATAATTATTATTATTGATTGTTCATTATTGCTGGATTGCGTCAGGTTTCGGTGTGGAAACATATTTACCTTCTAGTCAGACTAATCACGTGTTCTTGATCTGAGTTGTGTTGAAGTCCTTTAGAATAGACACTAGGAGGGAATCTAGTGTAGACATTCATCTAAGGTAAACTAACGTCCTACACATGTAAACGCGGGAAACCAGCCGTTATAACAATTGTAAAATGTCATGACCTACTAATTTTGTAAATATTCAGATCAAATCAAAGTTTTCTGTTAGCCAGTTATTTGAACAAGTCATATTAAAACTGGATTTTTTTGTCCGTTACTAATTCTAGAGGTAACTAATATAAAAGAATATACTTCGTTCATATATTAGTGTTGTAATTATTATTTCTACAATTGCTAATAAAAATGAAGATTATCTCAGTCTTAAATTCTTGAGCGTTTGTTTGTTAAACATGGTATCTAGTTTTTACAACAACATTCGTATTACTAGATGTGCATAATGATGGTAAGAGGGTTAGTATTATTTGATTTTTCACACATATGTTCATAAGAATATTTATTACGACCAAACCGGTTCATTTAAAGGGAACTGAAGCATGGAGTATGTTCCTTGAATATTGAACAAATGATGTCAGGCTTAATCGTAGTTGGGTAATAATGATCTAATCGCATATATAACAGTTTGAAAACATATATTCATTGTAGATACTTGAGCATCATTTGATCGTATGTAAATTATTGCTGTCTGAGTAGACAAATCAGTAAGGTTTATGAGAAATAAATTATTATTGCATAATGTCCAGGTACAAATTGAAAGCTGTACGTAGCTCTTTTTTCTAGTATTTTTGTAAATAATAACTTATAACTGTGAATCTAACAAATAATTTATCAAAAGGAGAATATTTTTGGTTTACACAGCTGTTGAAGTATTAGTTGGTTGAAACGATCAACCTAGATTGACTTAATTCATTAACGATTGAATCTAAAAGAATAACTAAGTGCATACAATGTTTGACACGCTGGTTTGTAGTTATACGGATTTAGTTCAAAAAAACTGACCGCTAAGAGGTTATTCAAACTTCATCTGGTTGTTATGGAACTAAAGTATATACGACTAGACGCATTTTGATGAGTTAATCACTTTGGCAGATCATGTTGTCCTAGTTTATATGGAGTTAAATTACAACTGGTTATCAACTGATTGATTGATAAATGGTTCGAAACAACTTCGAATGTCAGACTATATAAATAACGCAATGTTGTTGATGTAATTTTTATCTCCTTTTACAATTCACTTATTAAATATTTGAGCAAAACTCTTAGTAATAAAAATGAGCTTATGGTCCGAGGCGAAACAATCAGTTAGATTGTTCGAACAATAATTATAAAACAGAATCACCATTGTAACTCAACAAACCAGTGGACAGTACACTAGCAGATCTCGTAAAGACTGGACTTCTATCTTCTATTTATCTTTGAGCTACTGGATAATAAAAATTTCAGTTTCAATGAAATACGCAATAACAACCATACTATGAGAGAAAAAACTTAGTATTATCTAAATTTAATGACTTCTAATTTAGTTATTTATTATCTTTGTCAATTGAATGCCACCAGTATACAACTAATTTAAACTATCAGAATTATTTGTTCTTTTTCGATGCATAAATATGTATTTTTGCATCTTACAGGTATTTTATTATATCAAACGTCAAACGACGCCGAAAAACTAGGTTACAGATTTAGGCCACCAAAAATAAAAAAGAAACCAAATAATCTACATTGTGAGCTTCCCTTTCTTCCAGATATACTAGAAAATGCTTTCAATTTAAAATGAGCATAAATAATCATATGATTTCTTTCATATTCTGATGAAAAATAATTTTTTTAATCTACAGTTCTCACAATCTCATCTTGTTTGTATGTATTTCATTTCCGTTAATAGAACTAACTTCCTTTTAAAAGTAGTTTACCAAGTGAAACTGATATGAAAATGAAAAATGGTGAAACAAGTATTTTTCACAATGTGATTTCCTTTCTGTTTTGATTTTTACGTTGGAGTTATTTATAAAATGTTTGAAAACATTGAAACTCAGAATAGCGATAGTTATGTTGATAATATATATATTCATGAAATTAACTATTGTATAGACTCAGAATATAAGTCTATATTTCAAGAAACGTTTTCTAGAAGATCAGTAACTTTTAAATTTTATACAGTTTTTTTAAAATTAAGGTCTTTTGAAAAGGTTGACTGTCTCAACTAAGAATAACACAACTATACAGCAGAGTAGTAACCTGTCTTTACAATCATTGTTTGATAAGCGTTTATAGTGCTAAGGAAATTAAGTCTATTAGACTTTTAATTAAAGCTAATTTTCTGAGAATTTTGAGCTTTATTTCTCCAAAAATGTGGCATATATACATACAATGTTGTCTTCAGTTTCCCATTTTTAATTATCAATATCGAAAAGTCAAAAAGTGTCTGCATATACGGATAGTGCGATTGTGTATTACCTTATTGTTCAGTGTTCAATGATTTACACTCAAAGTTTTTACGGTCGATTTTTAGCAATCTAAAAATGAAACTTAAAATCTGTTCGTTTGTTCATTTTTTACTGCATAATGTCTTCAAGATTTGCCTAGGATGTTGAAAACCCAAGTATCGTATTAATCAAAATTATTATAAATTAGAGCCCATACCAATAACATCAAATCCATCAACTTTAAGATGATATTTGCCACAGTTGATAGCTCCATGCATAGTTTACACGTTCGAAACTAGCCTACTACAACACTAAAAAAGCCAGCTAAGTGTCTTGTATATTTAAGACAACTAGCGTGTTTATATGTTTAGAAACTCAAACGACAACACACTAAAAATAATACATTATATCACGTACATAACAGAAGTACTTTGATATAGACCTAAACAATACACCGATTGGTCAATTTACCGTAGTAAAAGACAGTAACACTTCATAGATAAACAAGTATCTTACAACTTAAAGTATGAAGAATTAAAAAAGCTAATTGTTTAACGAGTACATATAAAGATATATATGTACAAACTGATTTCCATGGGAATGGTTTCCTCAGTTCTATAATTTCTTTGCCTGAATTTTTCTTAACTGACATATAAAACGTTAAGGTATTAGTTGGAGACTAATGTAAACAATAACCTCGTAGTTAAAATGCTATTCATTGCCAACTAGTGATATCAATATTACTTTTGATAAGAGCGTAATTTTTCTAAAAAATTTTAGTTTATTTAGTCATATAGTATTATTCAATATAAATATTTATCATAGTAAATTGTCTCTGTTTCAACTAACCTCTCTTCAAGCAAAATCTACAGGTGTTTGTGAAAATAATGAATTCTTTTGTGGACATATATCAGTGGAACCATCTCAGTTATCATATATGCACAGAAACAAACGTTTAATAACCAATAAACTAAACTCATCTGATAAAACAAACTATTCCACTGATATTCAGCCAATAACTACTAAACACATTTTACAAAACATTGTTCAAAATAATTTATCAAAAGTTAAATCAGTCAAACTAAAACAACGTCGATCATCCAAACGTAAAGATTATGGTTATTGTATTTCAAGATTACTTCAATGTGATAGTATTGTACATTGTCATAATGCAAGAGATGAGTTACCTAGTTTACGAATGAATCCATCAGATTTACCTCATCAATTATTACATGCATTAGTTGGTGCTTATCTTACTCCTGCTGATTTAAACAATGTTGGTTGTACAGTATATAAATTAAACAATGATCCACTTATAAACAATAATAATAAATACGCATTAGTCAAAACTTTATTTCCTAGCTCACAAATGGAAAGTAAGTTTTTAAACTGCTTTTATTATTAAACTATACCTAAACAACTTTATGCATATAATTAGAAGCCTTTTTAATTTATTCTCTGAATTCATTATGTGTAAATTTGTTCATTTAATAAGAACAAAAATATTCTTTTCATTATGTCACATTTCCTAATCTGGATGATATAATAGCAATGCCTTCTATTATCATTCTGGACAATAGTGTCTATTTGAGGAAAGGGTGAGTTTTTAAAAAAAAATGAATAAAGTTAAGGATAGAGAAAAATTTACGAATGTTAGAAAAGTGCAAAAACATGGAGTTTATGTTTGCCCGTACGTAATGCATTTGGTAACATATATCCTTTATATATCATTCAACGCAGATACAGTCACTCAGTTATATTGTTATAATGCTTATTTTGGATTACAGTTTAATGGCTTAAGAACTCAGTAATGTTATTAAGCAAAGGATATAATACAATAAAACCCTACATCTAATATGATTTACTTTAAAGAAAATATTTGGTGGTTTTCGTTAAATATCTGAGAACATTAAGTAATATTTATTGTTATACAAAAATTGATTTTACGTGAATAACATAGTCCAACAGATTGTTAATTGTTGATTATTTGGGTTATTGAGTAATTTATTGTAGCAAAGATTTTTTCAACTAAAATTTGTATAAGAGATTTACTATTTGTACGAAACTACATTCAAATCTTATGATGGTACAACATTATTTGAAGAATATTTATTTTATAAAGTAAAACAAAACTGTATAGTTATGACGCTATCATATAAATGACACTAGCACTGTTACCACAAGTGATGAACAAAGCAGTTGTTAACTCAGTGTTTAGAGCACTGTTTCTGACGAATAGGTCACAAATCCAAACAACACCCCACCTACTTACATTCGAGTACTCGGACAGTATTAGTAACTATAATATAAACAGTGTAACTCACAAAGAAGTATACAAACCCGTACCTTATAAACGGATTACATTTAATTTCCTTTTTTCTCAAACTTATATTTTGTATATTAGTTGGAGAAATTATCGAAACCTAATTATCAGTTGTTAGTGAACTCCTTTCAAAGTATACAAAACAGAACTCCAAAAATCTGTCTTTTTCCTAATATAAAAGTACTGAGTTTTGTTGTCAGATGATTTACAATAAGTGATAAAATCCACTTGTGAATAAATGTGAAATGAAATTTTCAGCACACTAATAAAAGACTGTGATGTGTGAATTCGGCAAATTTTCGAGTAAGGAGATAACTCGCTAGAAGTTCAAGCTTAAAATGCTGACCATTCTTTTCTATAAAATTGCTCAATTGTATTATTTTGGTTGCAAGACTCAGGTGTCTTGATTTTAATCTCATATTTAGTATGATATATGAATTACTGAGGAGGTTTACACTAAAACATACCATGATTTTAGTAACTATCCCTGTCGGTTCTTGCTAGACCATCACTTAATATAATTTCGTGTTGCAGTTGAACAAATAACATAACCACCAATTTGTTTACTCAGAAAATCAGTTGTCTTGTTATTCGATCGATATGACATATAAGTCGAAAACTCAAAGTTGAACGAGAATGTCCTACTCTGATGTGATAAACTATGTTGAAACTACAAGATGTGTGTTACTAAATCCTTAAAATTTAACTGAATCAAATTTCTTGGAGAGCATTTTAAAAGACTGTAACATAAAACTAATAGTAGTAATTCAACGTATAAATAACTGACAAAATAAACGATGTAATTTGATTTGACAGGGAATCGTCAAAATTAATGCCATTAAGAATATTATAACCATTTTAAAATCCAAGTACACATAGACATCCTTTACTAATTCTATATCCTCATAGCTAGATATTCTTAGAGATATATTTATTACTCACCAATGTATTTTGGTTAGCACTTTTGCGTTTTCCATCAATCATCTATTTCTTCATTTAACAATTACCACAAGTAATAATTAATTGTTCTTACTTAAGTTACTGTTGTTTAACTGAATACCTGAGATTATACTAAATGATCTGGTGTGTAAAATCACTATATGAAAAATTGACTGAATGCATGATTAATGTGTGCTATCCAAACTATTTTTTTGCATATACTTTTTTCATCACACCACTGTTCAACCTTATCACTCCTATCGATACACTAATTTATGTTATTATGATAGGCAGTCTAACGAGAATACAGTATTTCTATCGAATTCATTCTGATTGGGCAAATTTTTTCTTGTGACAGTTTTGGTGAAATATTCTTCTTATAACCACTCAAATCAGTGGTTATAAGTGGGGTAAGTAAAAAATGGGAATTTTTCTGTAACAATCCTCCACACGTTCACTTATTTCCCATACTTAATTCCATATTGAAAACAACCTAATGTATTTTAGGCTTTCGCTTTTAGATTCAGTAATTCTTTGTGATTTATTCTCCCCACCCCCCACTGCACTTATATGCATCCAGTGTATATCATCTTTACAACGATTGTTCAATTTGTTTTTGTTTTCCGTAAATCCAGGAAAAAAAACATATGTTAGTGTATTATCATTTATTACAGTAGGCATTTTGACAATTCGTTGACTAACTACTAATAATACATTTAAGATATACAAATAAACTGATTTTTTCTACCTTAAAAGAGAACTTTATAAGGTCACAGGAAAACACGATCAATTTAAGCTAAGTTATTCAGTTTGTTTGTTTACGAGAAATGGGCAACCATGCAAGACTGAATGTTCTCCTCATGTTTTATTAAGTATTATGATTATATCTGAAGGCCAATTTGACATTTTGTATGTTTATATACAATACAATTAAACAATTGTTGTAGATTAATAGAATGTTTCATTGCACCAATAACGACGATATTCGAATTGTAAAATATAGTTCTACAGATAATTTTGTAGTAGTTTGCATCATTATTAAATACTATTCAAAGAACCCCTGAGCTTCGTTTTTATGAGAACTTACCGACTGCTTCAGTTGTTCAGAAATCTATTTTACTGAATTTCAGACTATTTTAAATCAAACACAATTGTTAAAAGGTGATTTAAGCGGAGAACGGCAAACTTTTTTGAAAAGTCGTTAAAGGTTCCGAAAAATCAAAATAGTAAAAATAAAGAATACTATTCAATTTCAAATAAATAATGGACTTATCACTATGGTTATAAATTTACTATGGTTTTGTGCATGAGTGATGACTGCACACTTTGGTAGATTTTATAATTATCAACCGCTGGATTCAATCGATATATAATTGAATTGACGTGGACATCAATTAATCTTCTTTAATCTCTCCCAATAAATCTCTTTTTTAAGACTCATCTCCTCAGGCCTGCAAGGCTAGAAGAAAAGAGACCTGTAGTATATGGTATTAAGGTTTTGCCACAATTATTATGGCTACCTCATGACATATGATTATTACAGTTATATTTGCTTTAATATCGTTTTATTTCATCTCACCTTTCATAATTTTCTAATTTTCTGTTATTTCAGAGTGTAGCAACTTGAATTAATCGACCATTTCTTCCTTTACATTCATTCATCATCTAACATTCATTCCTAACCTAAATTACACACATATTACCCTACATAAAAACGTTGATTCAGGATAACTTGTAATAAAATAATTTTTTACTCTCAGGGGAAATTCATTAACTACATTTCCTTGTATGAGTATTTGTCATAGCGGAATATAAGCATCTAATGTCATCAATCGTCGTTCGTTTTAACATTGAAATAATCACCTAGTTTTTAAATAAATCTTTTATTGCTGTACATCGGTATCTCTTTGTTGATAGCCGACAAAGCTTATAATCTCCAGTGAACGAGTATAACAGAATAAAAATAAGATTGGCGGACTGTTTATTTCATCAAACCATTTATCTACACACGAAAACTATATGATGAGGTTTACATGTACGAAAGACTTTTCAGGTGTAAATAATCAAGAGTTATTACTGGAACATTAAGTCAAACTCAAATGTAAACCTATTTTTGATCGTTGTTACATATACGAAGTATGTTCTACATAGCTGAGTAATAGGAACAAAAGTTAACAACTACGCATATAAAACTGCTAGGTTTGAAGCTATTACGAGTTTACTTAGCATGCGAACGGAACAAAGACTTGTGACCGATGCGTCCCAGCCGCGCTAACTAGAGGAAGAAGTCCAAGCTTGGAAAGGGAAAGTATATTCCGTAAGCCAGAGGCATGAGTGAATAATAACAGACACAAATCAAACGTATATATACAGCATAAAACTGTCCTTGGGAAGCGTAGCAAAAATAGCGTTAAAGATTCTCCCAAGTGGGAAATACGACATGAAGGTGAAAAGTGCGCTTGTGGCGCGAAAACAAGGAAATTTAGATTTCCAGAAAAAAATTATAAAGTTAAGGCATTTACCAAGTGAGTTCTGGGGATCTAACATCTCCAACAAAAACTCCGAACAAACCATTTTTGGAAACGATGTTACAGAAATGATATAAAAACCGACAGAACAGTGGCTCACATCATTGTAGCATACAGAAATCGTAAAATTTGTATATTTTAATCATCTTACTAATAAGTAAGTAGTACTTAATTGCATAATTTTTATGTTCATACACTTGGTGATAAACTAATATCTTGTTATCTTATATAATTCTGATAAAAGTAATCTGAAAATCTCGGTATATTTTGGGAGACTGTCTCCTTGTATTTGCATGTTAAGTTCATTTTTTTTATACAGTAATTGTTAAATAAACAAAGAGTTTTACACATTATATACATTTTTAATTTACCATTTTTAACATTTAACATTAGCTCACTAGCATGCCTTATTTTATGCTTATTTAAAATAACGCAATAATTATGGACTTATAACTGCAGGGTCCGATCAAAAAGTTAATGAAAGCAATCGCTTAGTTAAATATTCTGTGTTTTTGAACATCTTTAAGTTTTAACTTAATTAACAAGTTTGTATTCGTGTACTTAATAATGAGACGGATTTTTTAAAATGCGTACGCCAATGATAATACTTGGCTGGTCAAGATGGAATGAGTGGAATGGTGTTTAGACCTACTATTTATTGGCTGAAAATGGAGTACTGTGACTAATAAGCCAACATTCTCTCACTTCAATTGTACGAATATAAAAATGTCTGTATACTGAGATTTTCTGAAAGTGAATTTATCTGAGAAACGGTTGTACTCTAGTTTTAATACTTCACACTCTGATTAGTTACTGAAGTAACTGATTTTAAATCAGAGCTCATTAGAATATGTATACAGTTTTGATTCTATTTTCGGAAATACTGTCCGTATTAAATAAATTGTAAACCTTAGAGAGAAAACTTTAATTCCTATGCTAGACCTTCTTTCAGCGATAGCTAGTAACAAACGAACGTGTCTTCAAACTTGACTTTTTCTTATTTCATCTAGATTTTATTTTTCCTTTTAAATTACTTGATAAATAAACCATGGCATATATTATTTTATTTTCTGTCACATCTATAGACAACAAAACAAATTTACCATCTTTTTTCTCAATCAGCTCAACAGCTAACACACTGATAATTGGATGTATTATACTAGTCTCTTTTGTTGTTATTGTATTTGCATATTCATGTTACCAATATTGTTATCGTAAGAAATTACGAACAATACAAATACCCAACAAGTCAATCATTTACTGGTCATCGTTTAAAACAATGAAAGGATTAAATAGTATTTCACAAGATCATGTTAAATCTAACTTAACAAACCAAGAGCAAAAAACAGACATGAACAAAGAATGTTTCACACAAAATGGATTAGGAAAATATATGATAGGTCGTAGTGCAACTGATGGTACTTTAAGTACGCTTGCTGAATCCTACCCAGGATCAAATAAAAATGAAAAATGTACTTCAGATATCAATCAATCTTCCCTTTATGTACAAAATGGACCACTGATCCCCCAATCAATTAGTAGGAACTCACTTCAATCAAATGATTATAATTACCATAGCAACAACAATAATAATAATAGTACAAAAAGTGTCCATTTTGATGTACCTAATAGTAATGATAATAATAATAATAATAACAATATATCACAAAATTCAAACCAGTATTACAAAGCACCATGTGTGAATTCTATTAATCCTCAATGTTTCGGATCATATTGTGAAACGGTTCCTTTCATCAATCAACAACAACAAATTCAAATAAATTGGCAAACTAATTCTCAACAGTTAATATGCTACCCAATAATGAATAAAAGTGGGTTGGTTTCATTAGTTAGCACCTTTTATGTAAAATTATTTGTTTATTTTGGTAAATAATGATAGTTAGATCTTACCATCAAATCATTGATTATCTAAGTAGAGATACTACGAGAGATTGTTGAAATTTTAAAAAATTTCAACTACGTCAATATACGAATTACTAAACATCGGGATAACGGCCACTTGGTTTCGTGCTGCTTGGCACTCGTCAGCAAGGTGTACCTGTAATCTTGAGGGAACTGGTGCTCCCTGGCGGATTCGATCTCGTGTCACCCAGCTTCACAGTCAGAGACGTTACCACTGAGCCCGCAGTGTCGAATCACCTAGACTGGTGGCCACATTGCAACATGATCGATAGCATTCGATCTGCACTAATAAGGACTAGACAAGCATGAGATTGGTCACCACCCAGTGATCAATCAATTGTGATTACATCTCAGTCCTACAGGAGGTTAGTCACGGCTCGGATAGCTCAGTGGTAACGTCTCTGACTGTGAAGCTGGGTGACACGAGATCGAATCCGCCAGGGAGCACCAGTTCCCTCAAGATTACAGATACACCTTGCTGACGAGTGCCAAGCAGCACGAAACCCGGGTCCAGGGTTTCCTGTTGACTACCTCCAACCACCATCTAATCTCAAGACTTTTCCTGGTATTGAGAGAAGAGTGATGCCCCTGTGGTTGTCATAGTTGCTGAGATCGCCTTTCTTTGGTATTTTGACCAGAAGTCCTTCTTTCTAGTCTGTTGGTACTTGTTCCTCATCTCAAATCTTGCTGAAGGGAATGTTATAAACTTATAGTTATCTAATGATCACTTCACAGTATATTCACAAAACTTATTTGATGGATCACTTTTCTTATTGATCATCCTGAATCTTTGCAGAGCTTGAACTTAAATTTCATTATCGATAGTTATTGAGATAATATCTAGACAAAAAATGCATAGTTGTAGTTGAAATTGTAGACAATGAATTTTTTTGGAATAACCATGTGTTCTTCTTCCTACTCATTAGTGATTCACTTTCAGATTCATCAGTTCGATGGATTTCACTCGTAAAAATATATTATTTATCACAATTTAACTGTTTTGAGACCGTCATGAAATTTCTTAACCAACTATCATCTATAGCGGTTTATTTAAACAGTAGATATATTATTAACAGTTAAATAAATAAATAAAATATCACGTTGTTATCACGTGCATTACATATTTTACCGTGTTAGATGGATGATTTCGTATGCCCATAGTTACATCTAAGTCATAATCAATACATGAAATCATTTGGGAAACCAAATGTATTCACATCATAAAATAAGTATGTAATTTCAACGTGAACTGTAGAATCACTAAAACGTTAAAGTACTGAATGATCACTTAATTTTAGATCATAACTCTAAAGTTGTGCGTTTACCCGACATCACACTAGATGAGACCCAGGAAATTGTGAATACGTCAACTTCAGACCAGTGAGTAAGAAAATAATGATCCATATTACTAACTACAGTCAGCTCGCGATATTTTCTAACTTTCTTGAAACTAGTCATTACTGAACACATTATTATTACTAGGAGAGATTTGTGGACTATTCATTCCCTAAATGGCTGAATTTGTGAGGGTCTTTAGATGAAGGGGAAACTCAACAGATTTTCAGTTCGTGTTAATTTTTGGTGACTCTGAATAACTCGATATTAAAATAAAGAGTAAGAGAAATTCAGATTAAAGTTAGTAAAAAGTCAAGTTTTAAGTAACAAAGTTACAAAACATAAATGACAGAGTTGATTAATTAATTTAACAATTCTGGTGATAATTCTAATTTTTTTAAATCAAATGTAGGCCAAATGTTTACTAATTGTTCACAAACACTATTTCATACAAGTCTATACTCAAATATTAATAATTCCCAAACACAAATGTTAAATGCCGATATTGTACCATATAATAATTTATGGAGATCTGCATCATTCGGCAACGAAACCGAGCTATTACAGCCAATTAATAATGAGTTCCAAACAAATATACCACATTCTATAACTACAACGTTCTTACCATTACATCAGCATCCATTACATTATCATCATCAATATTCTACCACAACAGCACCGCCACCACCACCACCTTATCCAAAGGATCATAGACTGATTAACTCATGTACTGCATCAAAACAAATAAAATATCACCTGGGAGAGTTGGGAAAATCAGATGAATATGTTGTAAGATCTCCTTCAAAGTACGTTCTTGGTGTTACTGATTTGTCATGTTTTCTTGTATATAAAACTTAGACTTTTTAAGCGCGTTTATTGAGTGAATGAAGACTAAAGTCAGCAGGACTGTAACTGTTATTCTATAAAGATTTATGTAAATTTAGATATATTGACTCGAACTTCAGGTTCTTTTCATAGACTTCGTATTGTTAGGAATACATTATTTCGAAATAATTTAATTAGATTTTAACTAGTTGGTTGAACGATCACGATCTTACATTTAGAGTATTTGAAAATAAAGTGAAATAGTTGACTATCGCCTTTCTGGTTTCTTTCATTTTGCTTTTTTCAACTGATATCAAATACAGGCAATCTAAGGACATTTATTAAATGCTGATTTTCAGACTGGATACTTTTTCATTGGTGAAGCACACACATCACCAAAACTAGTAGTCTCACAACATAAAGTAGATAAATATTGTTTATTTCAGCATTTTAACTCGAAGTAGACTAGGTTAGCGTTCACAAAGAAACCTAATTACATCAAAGTGCCAACTGACCAATAATTGGTTTTATTAATTACGTTAATCACTATTAGCTTGAAGCCATTACATCTGAACACAAAATAGTACACTTTAATCCTAAGATTCGTAATTATAGAAAAAAAGAATAGCACTTGGATGGTTGTTTTAATCTCATACATATCATCTTATGTTAGTGATCTGGACTTTACGCCTCAAACTATAATACCTGAAGAATTATTAAAAGCCATAAGGCCTTGACACCGTTGGTTCGTTACAGTTTGGGACTATCAATGATGTAAATCACTAGTTTTTTTGGAATCACTAATTTGTCAGTAGCTTCTTCTTGGACTAGTTTCGCATAAAGCGTTGGTGAGAAATAGACTATAGATAGTTATCAGACAACATTTTTAAATTCAGTTTTCTATTGGATAAAGAATGTTTATCAAAGGGAGGTGGTAAACTGAAACAAAACAGTTTAATCTTTCATCATTTTCACTTATTTTTCCACTGGCATCCGTTTTCATTATAAACTGAATAGCAAACCCCATGACATGAAAAGAATATTCATAAGAACCGAAATAATATATACTTGACTTTATTTGTTCTTAGTATCCTAGCATTTGAGAAATATTTTACTAAGGACTGTTGTAAAATAATTCCTTTACCCAATTGAGAGTGCTGTCTGGTGTTATTCTGATAGGAAATGTAAGAAGATTCATCACAAGCAAGAATTTTATAAAACTGAGTTCTTATTTTCTAATCAACTTCAAAGAAAGAGCTAAAATAAATTTGTACAAGTAATTAGAGAAACGTTTTAATTCAAAACATGAATCAGGGACTTATTGGTTAAATGACTATGATTTAGACTGGTGCATCGTAATCTTTAATTCAAATCAGAGTAATTTTTCGGGCCACTGAGTCTCAAAACAAGTACTCATATACTGAAACATTGCCAAAAGACAAGTTCACAAGTACATACATCGTTGCTGAGTTAAACTAAATCTTAAATGGGGCTCATCGTCAAATGTGAAATATGCAAATTTCACTTGTCTTCAGCAGTTAGAACAATCTGAATACACCTTAAGTATAGTTATTGTACCTTATTTTAGAATTGAAAATCTTATTGAAATATTTTCTTTTGTTTTAGGTTATTACTGAAGAAAACTGCAGGAAAAGAGCAAAATACTAAGATGATCACTAATTTCAATAAGAAAACTGGAACAAAGCGTGTTGATAACCGGAAGCTTTATAGAAGAAAACATAAAGAGCATCTAGGTATGGTCAACAACCATCTCACTCTAGATCACTATACCAAAAATGACAGGAACAGACATTATATTCTTAGTGTCTATTCTGATGGTAGTGTATCAGAATCAAGCGGTATGTATACGGTCAAACACTGTGGGTATCGCAACAAGAAACATTCAAAACATTTTGATAGTAAAGCACAAATTATTGACTCTGATTCTCCTGCTACAACTGATGTAAGTATTACTCATACTAGCAAACGTTCGAGGAAATGTTTCAACGAACATTTTATGCACACAGAACATATTCAACGAGTTAGCCATTCACATAAACATAAAACATGTCATTTTCATTCAAAAACACGACAGGAAAAACACACAGATTTATTAAACAACAAAATTCAGTCATTAAGTGGCAGTCTGTGTAGCACAGCTAATAACGATACTAAGTGTGATAAACGTGTCAGAGATTTTGAAAAGAAATTCGATGCTAAAATTTATACTGTACCATCATTGAATGAAAGATATACGATATCTCATAGTGAATCCAATCCACTGAATTTATCTTTCCTAGCAAGAGAGAATACAACCAATAATATGAATCGTTCATTTTCTTCATCTGACATACCTTATACGAGACATGGAGAATACATTTAAGTGATCCCAAACAGCGGAACATCCTACAGCAGTATTCATCTTTACATCGAGTAAATACGCTTATTCTCAAGAAATAAAAGGGTACACATTCGGAATGTTAACATGAAATGGGTACATATTTTCTCTTAAATAATATTACATATATAAATAAACAAATGAAATTACTTTAAGACACCGTGAACTGCTGTACAGTACTTTCATTAGTCAATCAAAAGAAAGGCCTACCTCATTCTTAATAAATAAAACTCCATATTTCTCCTTACTTAATTATTAAACTCAGGAAAATTTTATATTACTCGTAAATAGATTTATTAGAAATATATAATGTTACACTTTTTCAAATATTGGTAGATATTTAGTTAACTGAACACAAGCATTTCTAGAGGAATGTATTTTAGAAACCACCGACTATTTGATCGATCAAGTGAATAAAAGGATGGGAGATATTTCTACTTATAACCAATTCGAAGTTTTATAATGGAATATGTATCCGACTTCTCAGTAGAGAAGTCAGCTGTTCATCAGTAAGGGTTCAATGTCGGAAATACACAACTTAGTGGATTATTAATCTAAACAATCACAAATGTAGACTGTTAAATGACTATCAGTTTATTTAAATTACATTTTGTCTTTTTTCAAAAGATTTGTCTAGGCAAATAAGTACAGTGATCATGAAAATTATTAATCAGTTGTCATAAGCAGATATATATACTAAATGATTTGTATCACTGGCGATGAATAAGACACGTTAGTCTTTAAAGCCAAATTCTAATAAAACTCATCGACTGATATCTTACAATATATTTCTAATTCAACTACAAAATACACAAACAGTCCAAAAACACTAGTTGGGTCACTAATATCTGGATTAATTACAGAAACGGTAATGTGGAAGCTGGTAACATCGATCCTGTCAGTGCCCAATTGTCTTGTGGATTATATATTTGTGCCAAAGGCTTGGGTAGTGGCCACTTAAGAAAAATACAAGCTTCAGCCTATACAAAATGCATCATTCTAGCCCAAACATGAATTTAGTGTTTTATACCACTGAAAACATTTTCGCTTTGATTCACATTCTCGCGAATCATATTCACGAATGCTTGGCAAAATTCATTTTCGCTCCACATTGCGCCACGTGTTAATTTCCCCTTATCCCCATTTCCTGTATTTTGTTCCCCATTTCATTCAGAAACTCGTCAATGGTGGAAGTTCTGTCTTTCTAAACGGCCCGAAGTTAGTAACTGGTCAAAAGTTGAATGCTACCACCGACTACAAATACTGAAACAGTTTTTCTGAAACCACTCACACCATTCAAACTGACTTCCTTCAACTTTCGCATCCTAATGCAGATCGAATAACAGATACGGTTGGTTGTGTCTTTAGAAAATCTGAACACCGATGTCTGTCGCCTATCCTAGACCCGTTCTCAAGACTCTAGTAAAGTATAACATATTCACTCTGCATTTTTCAATTTGCACAGATTATCTCATTTGCACTAATCTGTGAACTCTTTAGCATCTTCATCTTGTTTTGCTGGAGTTAATGTCGCATTAAACGCAAAAACTGAGGCAGCACTAATGGACTGTACCTTTAATAACAGTCGATTATATGCTTTCAGATTAGATAGCCTCATCAAAGTGATAAATCGAGGGGAGAAACGATACTTTTTTTTCAACAAGCATCGTAGTTTCATCCAGAAAATCACCTGCGTCATTTGGATGGCCGGAAGAGAATCTTTGATTCCAAATCAGAAAGCAGTGACCATCTCCTCCAGCTTCGCACAGATCACGACCTGTTTCTGATCAACAACAACTTTCAACGCAGCCATCTCCAATATGTTACCTAGAGGTCTCCCTTTAAAACTCAAGTCTGGATTCATATTGACCAAATAGCGATCTGCTACAGCTGGTATATTTTTGCACAAGATTTCTGCTTCTTTTGAAGTGGTTATCTGGACTATGACCATGCACTTGGTTGCGCTAATCTCATCTTACGTTCCAGCCCCCAACAGATTCACCTCCCCAGGCGGATCGATGTAAGCAAGTCGACAGAAGCATTTGATGCGACGAAGTATCAAAACCAAGATGAATTTAACGCTGGCTATAAACCCACTTAAAATCATGAATGAGCACTGGCCGCACTTACACGACGTTAAAGATATAGCGGGCAAAGTCGACCATAGCTTCGCGAAACGTTCCGCCCATAGGCACTGTGTTTCTACAAGCTCCTTACAACTTTGTAAGGCACATCGGTCCATTACGGTTGACAGTGAGTTTGATGATAGACGTATATACCTAGGTAATGAAACTAATCAAGGTATGTGTAGGGACTGAGAAGCCTCGTGGTAAAACCACGCTAACATACTGGAAATAGCAGGTGAATTTTATAACTGCCGGGAGCTCTTTCGACTCATTCGAGTCAATGGTAGCTTACTTACTTACTTACTTACACTTGTTGCTCCCAATGGAGCATAGGCCGCTGACCAGCATTCTCCAACCCACTCTGTCCTGGGCCTTCTTTTCTAGTTCCATCCAATTCTTGTTCATTTTTGTCATGTCTATCTCCATTTCTCGGCGTAATGTGTTCTTTGGTCTTCCTCTTTTCCTTTGACCTTCAGGATTCCATGTGAGGGCTTGTCTTGTGACGCAGTTGGGTGCTTTCCTCAATGTGTGTCCTATCCACTTCCAGCGCTTCTTCCTGATTCCTTCCTCCACTGAGATCTGGTTTGTTCTCTCCCACAGTACGTTGTTGCTAATAGTGTCCGGCCAATGGATCTGAAGTATTTTGCGTAGACAATTGTTAATAAACACCTGTATTTTCTGGATGATGGCTTTTGTAGTTCTCCAGGTTTCTGCCCCATACAGTAGAACTGTCTTGACATTTGTATTGAAAATCCTGACCTTGGTGTTGGTTGACAGTTGCTTTGAGTTCCAGATGTTCCTCAGTTGTAAATATGCTGCTCTTGCTTTGCCGATCCGCGCCTTCACATCTGCATCGGATCCACCCTGTTCATCAATGATGCTGCCCAAATACGTAAAGGTTTTTACATCTTCCAAATGTTCTCCGTCAATTTTGATTGGATTGGTGCATTCTGTGTTGTATCGGAGAATCCTGCTTTTCCCTTTGTGTATATTGAGACCTATTGCTGCTGAGGCTGCTGCCACACTGTTCGTCTTCTCCTGCATCTGTTGTTGCGTTTGGGATAGAAGGGCCAGATCGTCTGCGAAGTCTAGATCATCCAACTGCATCTTAGATGTCCATTGTATCATGCGCTTTCCTTCAGACGTTGACGTCTTCATGATCCAGTCGATCACCAGGAGAAAGAGAAAGGGTGAGAGTAAGCAACCTTGCCTAACACCGGTCTTCACTTTGAACGACTTTGTCAACTGTCCTCCATGCACGATTTTGCAGTGTAATCCATCATATGAACTCTGTATGATATTGACTATCTTCTGAGGCACGCCGTAGTGTCGAAGAAGTTTCCATAGTGTTGTTCTGTCCACGCTATCAAATGCCTTTTCGTAGTCAATGAAGTTGATGTAGTCAATGGTAGCTAGCAGCCTGATATTAGTGAAACAATCTGTAGTGATAGAACACTAATCAGTAAAACATACTGGCGTCCTGAATATTAAAAGATTTCTTCAGGGATCTGTTAATCTGGCGCACTATCCAAGCAACATCGATCCGAATGTTCCGCCATCCATGGATGGTGATGGTTGGTTAGTCGCAAGTTTGCAGGGAACTCCAGCTCCAGAAGCGCAATAGATTTTAGACCTAGGCGACTTATCACCGATCCTTTTTAAAGATATAGATGAACTACTGTTTACAGAACTTCGAAATGTGGATGAGGTAAATAATCATCAATTGTTTACCTAATCAGACTAGTGGATAGTCTGATAGGCATCAGTTATGTTATACATTTCCCAACCCTTATTGTTATTTTAAAAGTTGTCAGTTGTTGATATGAAAATACACTCACGCTCTATTCAGGCCAATCACGTGTTCGTGATCCCAGCTGTGCTGAGGTCCTGTAAAATAGACATTTGAACAGCATCTAGCGCAGGTATTCGGTTAAAACAAATGAGTGCTTCATTGTTGTAAGCGAGAAAACTGAACTTTATTTCAGACTGGTTGCAAACTGTTTCAAAAGTTCAAAAATTGAAGACAGTTCCAACATCCTGGAATGATGCAATAGATTCTCTGTCTTTAGGAATTATTTACTTCGCCTAAGTAACAACAACTAAGGGATAGGTTTGCTTTCGACTGCATCCAAAGTACTGCCTTCCATCAAACGTCGTAGGTTTTTCAAAACACGGGAAAGACTGAATCATAAAAACACGGGCTGCTTTTCTTCCTGGTTGAGGATGTATTGATCATATTTTACCCTCGCCAAAGATAATGAACGCCAGTCTTTTTTGAAGTTGCTACTGTAATATACGACGCAGACAAGTCTAACAACATTGATTTCAGTCGCGCAAACAAAACCGATCCTCCAACATAATGAAGGTGTGTTTAGTAGATCTGTTACTACTCATCGGCGCATTGAAAGAATATGTGCTCCAACAATCGAATCCGAAACCACGCTGAAAAATCAGATATATTTATTGATGTAATTGATATATTTCTCATTGAAGTAAAGAACAAATCTATGGTAGGGGAAGGTCAACAAGGTTCCTGATTAGGTAAACTCTGGACCATGTTCAAATGTTCTTCATCAGATTCCATTCATTCTAATGACCCGATCATGTCGAGTGAAATTCAAAATAATTGAGAAGAATGTTTCAAATAAATCAAATTCTAAGCTTTTGGTGTCATATTAGTTGCTTGTCTTCGCAATTCATTTTTCAGTGAATTTTCTAATCAATGTGAGAATTATAACTTAAATGAGTCACATCCAGTTCACATTCCTGATGTCGTTATGGCAGGTATTGAATGTTTTCATATCTCATGGATTTCAAGTAGAATCATGAAAAGGTCTAACAAAGTTAATCAATCTAGGGCATTCTTGGCGCTTTCATCTTCTTAGTATAGCTGTAAAAGGTTATGTTTACAATACGTTAGTGAGGGTAGTTTTGTCTTGTGCTTGTGAAACCTGGTCTCTAAGTTGATGATGTGCAACAACTCTTGGAATTTGATTATCGTGGTCTTTGAAGGGTTGCCAAGATTCACTGGAAACACCATGTTAGTAATGCTGAGGTTCAGAAACATGAGTTCGAATATAGTGGCAACAGCTCGGTCGATGTCACTATCTTGAAACACCGACTCCAATGGCTTGAACATGTGCAACGAATGTCACCCCAACCAGTTCTAGGTTATGTGTTATCCGCTGACATTTGGATAGGTTGCAAAAAGAGGTGATCAGATTACTAAGCAGGACAGAGTGGGTTGGAGAATGCTGGTCGGCGGCCTATGCTCTATTAGGAGTAATAGGCGTAAGTAAGTAAGATTACTGAGGGTACTGGAACAAAAAAACCTGACATCCAAGGGTTCTGTACGACCCCTTGGTCGGAGTCCTAAAGAGAGTGTAACTCAATGGCCTGAGAGGTTATCGGACATGACTCATCACAGAAGCCAGTGGCGGTCCTGCTGTAATTTTCTTTTTTTTCATAAGTGAGTGAGACTTCGGTAACCAAGAGAGTTTTTCTTGGTTGTCTTTCTTCTCATGGACTGCTTTTCCAGCCACCATTTTACTCTCATTCACGGATTTTTAATATGATATTTTTTCGATTATACTCACTTCCCTTCCTCTATCTCTTCACTTTCTGACTAGGTGGGGCACAAACGTTTTGGTGCCCCTTTGTACAAGGATTTATGTGTTTAAACAAATAAATACATATTTGGTGAGAAACATTAACGCAAGTGAACAAGTAGCCAGTTTGAGGACCCGCCTGCCTATTGTACCTAAGGAGTTTATGATTTGTCTAGTAACTATCATGGGTTATGAAAGCCAGGTAACCGTACGCTGAGATAAAACCTATTTCTTTGCATAGTTGTTAAGGATTAAGTTGTATTTATTACACATATTCTTCACATCTTTGAAGTATTTTTCAGCTGAGCATGAGTGGAGAGTGTTGTGTCTAGGTACTACGTTCAAGACAGATAAAGAGGCTACAAGTATTCGAAACTGATAGCGCCTTAACCAGTAACACCATTATATTCAAAGAATACCAACTTAGTCAAATCAGAAAAGAGGTTCGAAAACATATCTGATAGAATATCAATAATGAGGAGTGGTTAATTTAAGCTGACTAGTGGCTGTAGATGTGTAGCACGGAGTACCTAATCGTGATTTGCTGCGAATGGGTGACCGAGCGTCTTCAGCTAGGTGAGTACATTAAAACTAATGATGTCAGCACCAAATGTCGAAGATTAACAGAACTATTGATTATGGAGATTTATTTCCGCTACTCGGACTTTGTCGATCGATAACACTTTTGGACATTAAGTGATTAAGGAGGCTAAAACTGTTAGACTACAATTGAAATACTAGTTAAAGGATTTCTATCTGAAAATCCAGAACATTTAAACGATTATTGCATAAGACATCAATTAACAGTTTGGTTTATCTCGAGGCAAGGTCGTTAGAGATGAATGGCTTAATAGTAGCAAACGGGAATTAATTCCTCACGACACTTAAGGAATATGCAGTGATATAAAGAATATTTCACAGGAAACTAACCAAGTGAACGTCTTTATTCATAGATGAATTTTGTATCACGTATTGAAAACCTAACTTTTCACAAAATTTATACTTTTATCGCGTAAAACAAACAAGTTTAAGCTAATTGGGATAAATACAGCCAGATAGTTGCAACGCTACACATATTTAGCTCTCTTTGTTATCTTCATATTACAACACTATCAAGAAAAATAAATCAAACAATTACCCTAGAATTTATGCACTTGAAGTCGGGAATAGATTAGATGGCCTAGTTTTTCGTCTGTACAATAAAGACGTAATATCATTTATTCTCCTCAGATGAACTTGGTGAAATATTTTACAACTAGATTGGCCAGGGAAAATGTAAATAAGGTACATCACGTTACCTAGAAATTTATATGCTCACATGCTCTTCAGTCATCTGAATGAGAAACTATAATATTTCACCTTCAAAAGTTCATGGAAGTTTTGTAGAATCGGTTTTCAACATTATTTACCCACTGTTTCTATGTACGACGAGGGGTAACTACAGGATCAAGGCTTGGTTTCAGTAATTAACAAGCCACTACAACCTAAAAGCACATGCTTTTTAATTACATAAGTCAACTAGGTTTTACATTATCACACTTGAGAGTCCTAGAAATCATGTCGCACATGGGGTTGGGCAGTTATCATTGAATACACATCCATCGAATGCATCAACATCGGAATAATTGGAAATAAGTATGCAACGTATTCAAGTGTTCATCGAAGGTTGGTTCATGTATTAATGGATTGTAAAAGTTATATATTCTCACCCATTTCACCACAATAAGAATAACTTATGTACTCAACTAATAATAAAAGAAAACCATGTGGCTAGTGGAGCGGTGACTTCAAGATCAAGGCATTTGGCTTGTAGCAACAAAGTTGCGGATTCAAACCTCACTTAACATACGTAGGTTTGGGCAACCAGTTAGTATCACCAACCCTAACACGTAACATGTGGCTTGAAACACACGAGTCTGCACCTAGTATGAGTTTATAAAAATCTCTCCTGAGATGAAGATTTGTAGCTCAAGTGGATTATTTCGGCAAGATTTCATCATCCGAACTGAATGACTTATTCGCAGAACTTTTTTTCCGAACATCACACGCAAAACTTCTACCTGAACACAAGCAGACTTCGAGGAATGTCAGATAAAGGCTAACAAATAAGTACATCGACGATTTCACTAATACTGTCATCTAAGCTCAGAAATATATTTTTGAAATAAACATAAAGAGCGTGGAGATAAACTAATATTTGAAAATGTAACTTCTAACAGTGAGACGAAAGGATAAGTTAGTACTTCTCAAAATACACTCAATAGAAATCAGAAGCATCCTCTGTTATGAAAAAGGGAGATATCGCTATAATTAGTGCTCCGAACAAGGAGATTGAATCACCGTTTTATCCCACAATGACGGTATTTTCATCCACAAACTTGTACTGAGGTACTTCCAAATTAAGAGGAGCGGGGCCTTTTCTTATACGACCAGATGCATCGTAATGACTACCGTGACAAGGACAAAAATAACCTCCGGGGAAATCGCCGGCGTGTGCTACTGGAACACAACCTGTAGAAGAAAGGTTAGCAATTACAATACATGAGACCAAACGCACAACACATGAGGTAACGTGTTTACTAACATGATTACAGCAAAATAATAATGAAGTCCATAAAACCTTACATGACGCTTCACTAAGGCTCCTTTTAATAATGTGTCATAATAGTTCACTCTCATCCCACTCTATACTGTTTTTTTTATTATAATCCTAATCAACCATGGGTATAGTGATTGTCAAGTATGAGAGGAAATACTACGATAATTGCAAGTCTAAACAGAAAACCAATTTCTATACTTAACAGTTTGTACAATAAATGTTACATCATAAGGCATTATCACACATTGGAACCACATCGATGTTATGAACAAATCATATTAGAGCAATAATTCTTCAGTGATACTCGCATACCAAGATACGTGAATATCATGAAGATATTTCATATGAACACTATCTAATTTTTACTTAGATGGCATGTGTGTTACATACAAGCCTACAAGTCAAGAAATGTAAAAAGTAATATTTTGTATTCGATGAACGAGGGAACGACAAAGTACTTTAATCGTCACACCAGTCATATTTTTCCCAGCAACACCTTTAAAGTAAAGACATTGAAGATACTTCAAACCTTGTTATAATCTTACCATCAAATGCCTACCAAACAATAGTTGGAAAGAATTCATTAATGAAACTCAGCACTTTAGTGGTTAACACTATATTTAGCTGATACTTAATTATTTGAGAAATCACAGGTAAGAACTTTTAAACCAGCGTAATGAACAATCAGTAAGGAATATCTTAAACATAACACCAATAGTGAAACTCCAGTCTGTGAGTGAAAAAAAATGGTTTCTATAAAAACAAAAGTAAATACCAAACAAATCAGAAGTACCACCGTTGCTCCAATGCTATCACATAAGGATCCCATAAAATTTCGTCAGGGAACGTGATGTGGGGAGCAATAACTTAGTCAATTTGAGTGCAAATAACATTTAATTGATTTTTCCCCAATCGTCTGTGCAATGTAGTCACATTTTGAGTAGCTATATAACTTGGCAAGTTATGTATGTTGGTCCGGCGCTTTAACCGGGTTATTGGACATGGAGAGTCCACCTAGGGGAGTTGGAAAACCCTGATTCCAAACCAATGGTGCACATGGGCTCCAGGATCCTGAAGGAACAAATGGAGCATGGTCCAATTGTTGGTCACCGTCTATCATGGGACTGCATCTTTTTACGATGCTCCACTGCCTTATGGACCAGACTTTTAGGTCGAAGGCTCGGGGTGTGGCCTCTTAAGAAAACCACCTGCTTCGGTTTGGGCACCCGGGCAATATCACAGCCCTCACACATATCAAATGAGATTTGTGTGGCTCATATGTATTTGGTGCCTCCTTGTACCAATATCTGTGTTAAAATAAATAATAAAATATAAATCTGTTTGTTAAAGATGATTAATAACATTATATTGGAAACACGTTCACATAGTGAGTTATTGACTAATTGATGTTAATTACTCAATTCACTTTATACAAATCTGACTGTACACAAATTACACAAAATACAGGGTGTTCATATATTATTTCAAGGAGTCAAATAAATTCTTATCTCACATCTTTGTGTCCTTATTTGCGTCGTTTGATTCACCTTTCCCAACACCAAGTACCAAGTCAGTTGAGCGTTTTACAGAAATAATTTTCGTTACTTACCATTCAGATATAAGTACTGACTGACAGTTACCAGGCTGAAAATTCTTTTATAATTAGACATTAGCCCGTGAACTCGACATTCCAGTTTGAATGCTCGATAAATCAAGCACAGGACTTATTTATGGTTTCTGACAAGAATCCTGAACAATATAAAGGAACTATTGTTAAGCTGCCATCGATTCATTAGTACAAGACGAACTACTAAGCAACTACTGTCTAATGAATACAAACGAACACTGCATAATTGGAAAAATGAAGATATCGTACGATAAATGGCACCAAATCTTATCATCATGGATTGTGACTACGTTTGTGTAGCATCTTATGTTCTATCAAATGTAGATAAGTTACTTATAGAGACCACTCAATAACGATGCAACCAGATGAATGTTGTCAGGAATAAATATTTTGTCACAGGTTATTTTGTCGCTTTGTTCTGCCACTTTTACATTGTCATAGTGGTCAGTAGTCGCATGTAAGATGTTTCTTATATCCGATTTCAAATCGTTTACCAAACTGTTGCCTTCCAATCTGAAGTAACGGTTGTCGTTTTTAGAGATGCCGTTTGAAATCGTATAATCTAACCGGTGTAGTAACCCATACAACCTTGTCATAAGGCGGCTAAATAACGTTCAAGGGTTGGAAATAGCTCTCAGACAAAATAATCATTTCATGAACAAAGCAAAAAAGACAAAAGTACACGTCACCTTTATTTCTACACCATTGCTGTTTTCATGAGAGTTAACACAGCAGCAGTGAATACTTTAAGTGGATGACATGTAATATTGATAACATTCAGTTCTGCAGCTTATAGTGAAAATTAAATGAGTGAACTTAGTGAGCCTATAAATAACTACCAACATAGATTAAAGTGAAAAAAAGGCTTATACTGTCCCAACAGTGAGATCTGAAGAAAATTAAAGAAACGAAGTATTACCCATATAATAAGTTTTATGCTTACCTAAATGTGTACATACGCCCAAACAAATTAGCCACTTATCTACTTTGACACGATCTTGATCGAGCTGAGGATCTCTTAAGCTTTCCAGAGGCACAGCGCGTTCGCGGGCAATTTCTTCCGCTGATCTATGGCGAATAAAAAGAGGTTTGTTTCGCCATTTGACTGTAATATTTTTCCCTTCAGGGATGGAAGCCAAATTGACTTCCGTGGAGGCCTCCGCCATAGTTTTAGAGGAAGGTCCCAGAGGTTCAATGAACATTCTAACGGTGTACTTGGCTGATGTAGTGGCAATCATCGCAGTCGCTGAAATAATGAGACCGATAAGATTGTTTACGCAACTAATTGAGTACCTTTTACAGAATAAAACAGAAATAATTCAGCCCATATAAATATAGCAGGTCAGTTGCGGGGGACTACACAAAAATTATGTTATGAAGTGGCTAAAATGTTTCTGAGCTACCAAAGTCAAAATGATGTTCAAGTAATGAACTGAGCATATTAACTCAAGTAAAAAGCAGCTGACCCATAAAGCCTCCTGAACTGTACGCAAGTGGATTGATGAGTTCATACATTATCAACACTAATCATTGGGCAATATACAAATAGTCGACATTACCGACGTTGTGAGATTCCCCTGTAACCAATAAAGCCTCTGCATTGTTGGTCTCAGGAAGCTAATTTATAATGGCCAAGCTATGAAGATGTTATTTTATGTAACTTGATTTATGAAGGTGATATACCCGGATGCTCAAAAACTCGGAATTTTAATAAAATCTACTACTAAACACCTCGGGAACGAGGTACACACCAAGGACTGGCGTAATGAACTACGACGATCACTGAGTGCTAGTGTGAAAGACCGCTCCACCCTAAATGTGCTCATAGCTTGTTGGGCGGTCTGAAGAACTCAGTGGTAACATCTCAGACTGTGAGGCCGAATGACGCATTTCCGAATTACACGGAGAACAACAGTCCCAAGAATTGCGGGAATAAAACGAAACGACTTGGCGGATGCACCAGCGACCTATATATCTGTCCTAAATGGCATTAAAAGGCACTCACCAAACATCATCGTATAAGAGAATATCTTGCGATGCACTTCGCTGTCAGCAGCCCGTGAATGAGGGTCTTTAGTAGACTCTAGGCGGTATTTCGTGAAATCAGGAACATTTGTAACGTCCGTGTGCACAAACCGGATCTGCATTGGAGCTAATACAAATACTTTTTAGGAGAATATATATTACCAGATAAACTGCAAGTGCATGAAGTGTACGGAGATCTCGGAAGTGATCGGAGTAGACTACGCGGAGACTTTACAATAGGTTTTAGAGGGAGGACGTTTTTCTTTTTAGGCACAACAGTGAAAAGTTCATTGTTTTCACAACAAAATGGGATAGTTCTGCATTTGACGACGCCTCCCAAATTCTTAAGGTAACGCATAACGAAACAGTTCTGAAATATTGCGCTCTGACGACATCTGTTCTAAGGGTTTAAACAATAAAAACATGATTGAAGAATTCGCTAAACCAGCTTGAATCGCTACTGCGAATGAATCACTAGTGCTTGGAAAAAAAATCCTACAGTAACAAAATAAACTGAAATATGGAAGGAATCAGTAAATAAGAGTGACAATACTTAGTTATGAGGGAAAATATAATATTTCTCCTTACAGGATATCAGTAGGGTTGTTTAGATCACATATGGATTTTTTAAAACTACCAGAGCTGGCCACTTGTTATGAGCATGGGAAACGAGACTAATTTAAGGACGAACCAATGAAGTATAGGATAATAGGCTCCGGATATTGGCGCGAAGTTCGCTCATCCAATTTGGTTAAATAGTTTTAGTATTATAGCTGATGTTAGTTCGTGTTGAAAACCCGAAATCCACTTCGTAACGTTATTCATCAACTGCTAAACATAATTCTGATTCCTCACACAGGTTTACAGCCCTCATTCGGTTATAGATATTAGGTGGAAACTCAAGGTCAGTCAAGCTTAGCTCAAAGATCGTCCATAAATTATGGTCTCACCACATAACATGTTCCAAATGTCCAATCTACAAGTTTTTTCTACAATTTCTATGTATTTTTCGAAAATTTCAATTTGGAACTGGACTAAAAGAAGACTATTAATGTTAGAATTCTGAAGGATATTCGACTACATCTACATTCATTTCATTCCCACAGATAAAGACCGGTCAATTTAAAATTTTTCTTACAAAGCCAGTCCGTAATGCGTTGAATATATTTTGAGCCTCGACGGAGGATGTGTTGAAATATTTTCTTATTCTACTTGTGTGAATAAAAGTTTCCCGAAAAAAGAATAGTCCCATAATTCTACTACATTGGTGCTGACCTAATTAATTTTATTGCACTCATCTCGGTCACACATCCGCATCACATCACGATTGAGTACGTAGTGCTACACATCCCTTTCTACTTTTAGCTAGCTTAAACGAAACGCTTCTCGACATTTAGATAGCTCTCCAAATATACCTTCGAACCTCTTCACTTCTGACTTCTGATTTGACTGGTTTGGCATACTTTGAATATTAAGGTGTTACTGGTTAATGTGTTATCAAACTCCGAATACCTATAGCGCCCTTAACGTAATATGGTTTAGGAAGAGCCGAATCTCCATAGTGTTAACTATTAAGTGGACAGTTCTTTTATTAACATGACCAAAAACATACCTCAGCGTTACTAGTGCCAAGTTTGCTCGAGACGCACTCTTATCACAGCATAAGATTTTTTTACTATTGGGTACCAATAACACATCTTCAACACATGGTAGCACTTCTAGGGGAAAAATACACATTTGGTTTGTAGTATCTCGCAGATGAACTACCTTGTACGCTTAAGAGTTAAAAGCAATCCATTGCTGTCTTTCGAACCTTAAAGTTGATTAAACTTTTCCTTAAGTGCTCGCTTATCGTCTTTGTTGTCAAATTCTCTCCGAAACTTAGTATCTTTGTCAAAATATAATATCAAAGAGCATACTTACTGTGTAAGGTTATTCCTATAAATAGGAAGACTAGAATTCCTGCCACTAGGCCATGTGAGACCTATTCAAGATGCTTCGTAGACTGGGTTAATCAGGTTCATCTCCGAAGTTCCTCTTGTGCTGCAGATTATATCCTTGCCTATATGGGTTCTTCATAACGGTTGGAATGTTTAAAACACTGTATTTCGCAATAGCACCACGACGTTACCTTCATTGTTGTTTGTGCGTTAAGGACCTAACTACTTTGGTTCCACCCTATCAAGAGGAGCTTGCATGGTAAAGCAAGATTTGGCATTAAAGACAAATATATTGACTTCCAATTAAGGTGTCTGAGCAATCGTTCCTAGATTGTTAGAACTACTTATACAATATAGCTCCTGCACTGTTTGTACTTTGTCTGTTTTGTGTCGACAATTTGGTGTCGTGATTTCATGTAATTTCAGGTTGCTTAAAACTCACAGTGAACGTTTGTAAGAGACACTGATATGTAGTACATAATATCGTGTGTAATAGGCAAAAATATAATTTAAAATGAAGACAATCCACCTGCTAAACATTATCTATTATATCTAACACAAATAAATTTTTAAAATTTCAGAGGCTTTCTTGTGGACGTGATTGATTTACAACAGACGTTGGCCAAGTTGACAATTATCTTATACAGTCGTTCTTAACTTCACTGCTTGTCAACATGGAAACTCTCCACAAGAATTAGAAATATCAACGTTGCAATTTTGTTTTTTAGTTTTCATAGTAAATGGAATACAATAGGGATCTTGGATGCAACTAGACGATTTGGGCTTTGCAAATGACCTGGCTCTTCTATCCCACACACAACCAGCGTAGCAGCAGCCTCTACAGTACTAGGCCTCAACATACACAAGGGAAAAAGCAAGATCCTCAAATACAACATGAAGAATACTAATTTAATCACACTTGATAGAGAAACTCTGCAAGAGGTGGGAACTTTCACGTACGTGATCAGCATCGTCGATGAACGTTGTGGATCTGATGCAGACCTAAGGGAAAGGACTGGCGAAGCAACGACAGCATTCCTACAGTTGAAGAACATATAGAACTCAAAATAACTGTCAACCAATATCAAAGTCAGAATTTCCAATACGAGTGTCAAGACAGTTCTACTGTACGGAGTTGGAACTTGGAGAACTACTACAACCGTCATAAAGAATTACAAGTATTGATAAACGACTGTCCGCTCAAGATACTCAATGTCTGTTGACCGGATACCATTAGCAACAGCCTACTATGGGAGAGAACAAACCAGCCCAGCTGAAGGGGGAGCTAGGAAAAAACAATGGAGGTGGATAGGATATCACCAAACTACATCACGAGGCAAGCACTAACTCGGGATCCTGAAGGGGAACAGAGAATAAGAAGACTAAAGAACGCACTGCGCCGGGAGTTGGAAGCGGACATGAAAAGGATGAGTAGCAACTGGAAACACCTAGGATTTCCCAGGACAGGGTTCGATGGAGAATGCTGATAAATGACCTGTGTTTCTCCACGAGAGATAACAGGCGTAAGTAAGAGATCGTCCTTATCGGTGGCTTATGTCTCAATCCCTAAGAAAGAAAGTCATTTAATGACTGATCACTTATACTTATCACTTAGTAGTTTTCTGATTGGCCTACTGTATCACTCAGCATTACTAAAAAAGTGTGAGTTTCCTGATTTAGCTGAAGGCGCTGGGATGGGTGCATATCTTTTACTCTTTTGAGAAACATGTGAAACCGAAGGTTTATTGCTTCTGGCTGCAGATATTTTGTAGCTCTAATCACATGCTTGTCATACACCAACATTCATACTGGTTGATTGGAATTTACCTGCATGCAGTGATTACCGGGTCAATTCACAAGATTCAGTTTTTTAATGTCTGGTCCTACTTTAAGTTACACCTCGAATTCAGTGTTCACTCAAAACCAGTCATAACGAAGAAACTATCAGGAAAATATAGTAAACCAGAGACCACTCAAGAACAAAGAAGGCAAGCCGATCACTGAGAATCAGGAACAAAGCGAAAGATGGGTAAATCACTTTGAGGAACTATTGAATAAGCCAGTTCCACTGAATCCATCGGCACCTATAAACCTTCCCATACATATCACTCCACCAACGATCAAAGAAATCACGATGGTTACCAGACAAATCAAGTGTGGGGAAGCAGAAGGTCCTGACAATATACCAGCTAAAGCACTGAAGTCAGACATGGACGCAATTGCGAACATGCTCCACGTTCTGTTCAGGAAGATTTAGGAGGAGGATTAAGTGCCGAAAGACTGGAAGAAGGATACCCCATCAAGATACCAAAGAATGATCTGAGAAAATGTGAGAACTATGGAGGCATCACACTACTATCAGTACCAGAAGTTTCCAACAGTGTTGCTGAACCGGATGGAAGACTCAACTGACACCCAACTTCGAGATCAACAGACCGGATTACGTAAGGATTGAATGTGTATAGATCAAATCGCGACAATACGGATCATCGTTGAACAATCAATTGTATGGAATTCGTCACTATACATCAACTTCCTTGACTATAAGGTGCTTGACAGTGTGGATAGAAGAACCTTGTGGAACCTTCTTCGACATAATGGCGTAGCTGAGATAATCAATATCATACGGAGTTCATATGACGGACCACACTGCAGAGTCGTGCATGGAGGACAGTCGACAGACGCATTCCCAGTAAGGTCCGAGTTCGACAAAGTTACATACTCTTCCTTTTGATGGTTGACTGGATTACTCCTCGAATCCAGCTTTCAGTTAAAACCAGTCGCTTTTGAAGTTGCTACTGTAATATACGACGCAGACAAGTCTAACAACATTGATTTCAGTCGCGCAAACAAAACCGATCCTCCAACATAATGAAGGTGTGTTTAGTAGATCTGTTACTACTCATCGGCGCATTGAAAGAATATGTGCTCCAACAATCGAATCCGAAACCACGCTGAAAAATCAGATATATTTATTGATGTAATTGATATATTTCTCATTGAAGTAAAGAACAAATCTATGGTAGGGGAAGGTCAACAAGGTTCCTGATTAGGTAAACTCTGGACCATGTTCAAATGTTCTTCATCAGATTCCATTCATTCTAATGACCCGATCATGTCGAGTGAAATTCAAAATAATTGAGAAGAATGTTTCAAATAAATCAAATTCTAAGCTTTTGGTGTCATATTAGTTGCTTGTCTTCGCAATTCATTTTTCAGTGAATTTTCTAATCAATGTGAGAATTATAACTTAAATGAGTCACATCCAGTTCACATTCCTGATGTCGTTTCTGCTGTGGATAGAATAGCAAATTTAATGTGGATATCAATAAGTCACACATAATACACACGCCTACAGGTCTGATCCATTCCATTCTGATTCATAGTTGACACGTTCACTCTTGCTAACCTCCTCTCCACATTAAGTGATGAATATGTGTTTTTCAAGTCATCTCATTTTCAGCT